GTATCACTGAACTTGAGAAATGGTTCCAATGTTCATGTTTGCTGACATTGTAGAAAAGTAATTAAATGATAAGGAAATTATTTTTGTAACAGTATATACTGGTTAGCTACCACAAAAGTATATGTGACTGAATATTATGGTTTGAATATTATGATGAAAACAACTTTGTAATTTAATCTCCCATCCTTATCATTTCCATTCTTCCTCCAAAACAAATGGCTGCTTCTTCTGAGTCCCCTTTGCTGAACTATCAACCACCCCTTAAGTATAGAGGATACACAAGACCCTATTCTAATACTCTCAACACTCAAGTGATCTCATTTAGTCCCATGGTTTCAATTATCATCTCATATCATGTGCAAATAACTCTAAGACATATATACCTTACCAATTCTGTTGAAGATACCACTGGCCTTCTAGTCATGCAGGTTTACAAATTTAGAGAGATCTTTCACTCCTCTCTCTCTTATTTCCCACATCTGATTAGTTGCCAGGTCTTATTGATTCTTCCTCTACAACACTGCTCTGACTTGTTCCTTCCACTTACAAGTTCAGATCCTCATCAGCTCTTCCCTAGTCTATCATATTAGCTATTTAATAAATTAGCTTCCTAATTGTTTCCCCTGCCTCAAGTCTCTACTTCCATTCATTTTCCACACATGTCCTTCTTTAAGGCACAGGTTTGCTCATGTCAATCCTTTGCTTAAAAACAAAATCAAACTTTACTAGCTCCCAAATGTAAACTCCTAAGCCTTGAATTTAAGGTCTCTATAATATGGCTTTAAGCTTTAAAATTTTTCATGTTTAGTTCACATTATTCTCTTCTAGCATTTCAACACTGTAGCCCTCCTGGTATTCCACGTCCCACCTCTCTACCTCTGCACAGGCTATCCTCGACCTCTGGAATTCACCTTGGCCATGTTTCCGCCTCTCAAAATAATATTTTTTTGAGAGAAAAATTATACTGAACTTAAGTCCCCCCCCCCAAGAAACCATTACTATATACACTGAATACAAAAAGAAGATTCAGGATTCTATATGAAACTGAATCTCCATTTCATATACCACTTGCTTTTAAAAATATTTACACATTACTTTCAAAACTGTCCTGCTTATTTGTGCTTCCTTCTGATGTAATTTCTTTTTTCTTGTCACTAAAAAATATTTTCAATTGTTTCAAATGTTTTCAAATGTCTTCTTTGTTTTGGCATTACTATGGTTAAGACCTTTGAAATCCAAAACCCTCCCCTATTAAAAATGAGTCTATATAGTAGACATATCCAAAAATGTCTCTTTCTGCACCTTCTCTGTCAGCAGGTGGATAACATGCTTCATCATAGATCCTCTGCAGAAATGACTGGTCACTGCATTGATCAGAGTTCTTGCATCTTTCAAAGTCATTTCACTTTGCTATTCTGGCTGTGATTCTGCTCCCTTCACTCTACATCAATTTATGCCACCCAGGATTCTCTGAAAGTCATCTCAAGTTATTTTATATAACACAATAACATTCCTTTCCATTCATATACTGTAATTTGTTTGGCTTTCCCCTAGTTACCTAAGAAGCAATCTAAGACATTATCTCGGTTTCTAGTTCTTTTCTGTTCTCTATTTTCCCCTTTTTAATCCTTCCTTCAGGATCAGGAAGCTTGTATTTCTTGTGACTAACTTTTTCCTGGTGTTATTCTTCCTCTAACAGGACTCCTTTTCCCTTCCTGTTACTATGATGAGTTTTGTATGTTTCTATACCAAACTATTTCTCTGTGTGTGTGTTCAATCCTCCTTTGTCTATTTCAGATAAGGAGGTTCATCTGATATCCACTTCCCTTACCCCTTCTTCTGTATCTGTATATTCTTCTCACACACCCCAGTTTTGAGAAATAGCAAATTTCCTCCCCTTCTTTCTCCTTTCTACACTAGTGTATTCCTTTTATCCTCCATTCTCTTCTCCCTCCTCAGACAAAACCAATCCACCATGAAGATCTCTATTTTTCTTAACTCCCTCAACACCCTTTCAAAACTGTAACATTCTGAGGGGACACTTGTTTCTTCTCACTCTATTAGAACTCTACATCATCTTAGAGCTCCTTCTAAAGGCTCAACTCTATCTTTCTAGGTTGGTTTTGATTCTTGTGTTTAATGTATTTCAAAGTTCCTACTCAGCTCTGGTCTTTTCATCAGGAAAAAAAAAAGATAGTCAAAAGCAAAATAAGTTTCCTGATCCTGAAGGCAGTATTAAAAGGGAAAATTATAAAGAACAGAAAAAAATTTAAAAAAATAGAAAACAGAAAAAGTGCTCTATTCATTAAAGATCCATTTCCCTCTCTGTAGGAAGATATTTAGCTTTTCAGACTAATTTGTTATTGTTTGTAGGCCACTCTTTTTTTACTTTTGGAATTCTGTATTATTCCAAAACCTCCTGGTCTTGTGTAATACTAACTGTACTTCCTAAACTGATTTTTTTCTGGTGGCTTTCTGGTTGTTTCTTTGACATAGGATGTCTGAATTTTAGTTATGACGTTCTTGGGACTTTTCCTTTTAGGAATGAGTGGATTCTTTATATCTTTACTTTGCCCTTTTCTCTAAATCTAATAGATCTGAGTAGTTTTATCATTTATTGAAATACAGTATCCATACTTTTATAAAGCCATGGTTTTCTTAAATTGTCTCTCCTTCACCTGCTTTCTAAGTGAATTATTTGTGATATCATTTGTGCTTCTTACATTTTCTCCTATTTTTCCATTTTTTTATTTTGTTCAATCTGTTTGGTTTATTATAGTTTTCAGGGAGTCCATTATTTGGGTAAAGTTTATCACTTTCCTTTTAAATTACTTATTATCTTTCCAATTCTTTTCTCTAGAGCTTTTATTTTATAACTCATACTTCATTTCTTATAAGAATTTATGTAGTCCTTGTGGGAAATCCATTTTTTCCTGAGACTTCATTTGAATAACTATGGAGTTATTCCTTTTTGATGACCGGATAGTAATTTTTTTTATTGGTCAATTTTTTGTTTGTCTTGGCTAGGCAATGGGGTTAAGTGACTTGCCCAAGGTCACACAGCTAGTAAGTGTTAAGTGTCTGAGGACGAATTTGAACTCAGGTCCTCCTGACTCCAGGGCCAATGCTCTATCCACTACGCCACCTACTGGTCAATTTTTTTAAAAAAAATATTCATCTCTCTATTCTTAGTTCATGATTTTGTACTTTGTTCTAGGTCCATGTTCTGACACTTGCTGCACTCTCAGATTGGTCAAATTGTCGTGCTTAGTCTTACCCTTGTCCCCTGGCTTCCTGTGCTGACCTGCTATTCTTTGGGTTGACTCTTGACAGTGCAGAGTGCTGACTCTTTCAGGATCCTCTATGGTGTCTCAGAATAGAGTGCTGCTAGAGACCTTGTAGCCTCTGTGCCTGCAATACGCTAGTCTAAGTCCTACAATATCAAGCTTGTCACTACTCATGGCAACTCTCCTGGGTTTCCATGTTTGTCCCCCTGGGTTTTCTGACCACCTCTGGGTGTTCTCAGAAGACCTTCTCCTGCCACTTTAGGACAAAGAATCTTGCGGGCTACCTGTGTCTAGTTTCTGGCTGACATGGGAGGCTACAATCTGGTGCTGACTTTGCTGGTGGGGCCCCCTTTTTCAGTGCCCTTGTGTTTCTGGCTGACTTCTTGTGAAGTCCTGGTGTAGAACTACATTTATTTAAGTTTCTCATTAGATTTCTTGATTCATTATGGTACAGAGTTCAAGATTTTTCTAGAGTATGAGGTAGTTGAGTGATCTCCCTCCTGTTCAGGCAGGTATCCTGGCTGGAACACAGTCCTTATCCTTCCTTCAAGGCAGGTGCTACCTCTACCACAAAGCATTTTCTAATTCCCCTGGTTTTAGGGTTCTTTCTCTCTTTAGTTATCTGTATATATGTTGTATATTCTAGTACCATATAAGGTTCCTTGAGGGCAGGAACCATCTCATCTTTGTTTTCCAAGTGTCAAGTACATACTAGTTGCTTAATAAATGTTAACTGAATTTAATTTGAACATTTTTCCAAGTAGTATAAAGTATATCCACATATAAGATATCAAAGCAAAAAATGTACTTACAGATTTTTCTCCTTAAATTTATCACTACCACCACTGGCTATAGAACTGTATGAAGATTTTGGTCTCACTTTGTGGTTGGAACTATCTGTATCATCTCCGATATGTTGTAAATTGCTTGAGCCCCTTTTCTTTGTCTCTGATCTTAGTTGAGTATTTCTGGCTCCCTGGAGGCCTGGGTTTATTGGCTTGAGCCAGCATTCAGGGGTTAGGTCTCTTGTTAGCTTTCTGTCTGTCAACCTTTATCTTTGTTAAAAGTCTCTTCACCCCCTGCCTCCAGATGGTCCACTTGGTGGCATCCAAAATAATGTTTTACTAGGTGTGCTGTGCCCAGAAGTTGCCTTGACCCCAAGGGGGAGAATGTTGCTTAGAAGCCAACTTAATCTGTCTTCTTGAGTTGCCATATTTTCCAGAAATAGAAACAGTAGACCCAGAGTATGCAGGAGGCCCAGAACAAGTAAAGGATGAAGCCCCACCTGAACTGACATAATTTGCTATTCCCATCTCTACCTGAATACCCAGTGTGTCCTTGAGAGTTGAACCAGCTACAAGACAGGCACCAGTTAGTCTGTACCAGACTGATAAACTGTTTGTGCAACTCGGACCCTTTCAGATAAGCAGAACATCCTCCCTCCTCGGTCCCATGTCCCCAAGCCTTCCTGCTCCCTCTCATTCCCCCTCCCCTACTGCTCTCTTCCTTCTCCCATGCCACTCCCATTTGGGAGGGGATTGCCCTCCATTCCTTCCTCTTTTTGTTGTTATCCTATAAGTATTGTCTGTATTGTGGGCTCCTTTGTGTGCCTTTCTCTTATAACAAATCAAATTACTACCCATATCTTGTGGAGTTGTGACTTTTGGTGAACACATACTATAATAGAAAATAAGATTTCAATAAGGTTCTTACATATTCAATAGGCTTGAGAGATTTGACACTAGCTGGAGAGCAGCCACAGGAAGTAAGGTTGGCATAGAGGCCTTCTTCTAATACACACTGGTTACTTGTGACATTCTCTTGGAAATGCATGAGCCAGCTGAAAGATCAAAGTATTGAAAATTTAGTCAGTTAACAATTATTTATATTTACTCTGTGCTCAGTGTTATGTTATGGGCTAGAAAAATATGGGCAGAAAAGAAAACGCTATTAGATAGAGAAACAAGATTCATATACCAAAAATAACCACAAAATAAAGCAATGAAAATCCTGTAGAAATTCAAAAAGATTATAGCTATAAAATGGCTAAGGAGAAGGGTCCTGAATAATGACTTAATGGAAGAATTTGGATTAGTAGTAAAGTTTAGTGAGGAAAGGAATAGCAAAAATAAAGGTATAAAAATAATAAGTGTGTACTGGGAGGTGGGGCACAAAGAAATGGATGATATTCCATTACATTCATATGCCACAATCTGTTTGGCCATTCTCAGGTTACCTAAAAAACAATAGTACCTTAGTTTCTAGATCTTAACTGTTCTTTATTATTTTCCCCCTTTTAACCTTGCGATCAGGATCAGTAACTTATTTTGCTTGTGATTATCTTCTCCAGGTATTATTATCCTTTTTTTCTTTTTCTTTTTTTTTTTTTTTTGCTTAGGCGATTGGGGTTAAGTGACTTGCCCAGGGTCACTTAACACTTAACAGACACTTAAGTGTTAAGTGTCTGAGGCTGGATTTGAACTCAGGTCCTCCTGACTCCAAGGCCAGAGCTCTATTTACTGCGTCACCTAGCTACCCCTATTATTATCCCTCTTAACAGAAACAGACAGGAAAAAGGAGTAATATGTTGAGTTTTATGTGTTTCTTTACCAAACTGTTTCTCTGTGTGTTCAATCCCTCTTTGCCCATTTCAGATAAGAATGAAGTTCATCTAATGCCCTTACTCCTTTCTCTGTATCTGTATACTCTTCCTTTTACATGCCCGAGTTTTGAGAAATAGCAAGTTTTCTCTACTTTCTTCCTCCTTCCTACACTAGTGTGTAATTCTCTTTCCTCTCTTCAGACAGAACCAATCCACCTCAAAGATCTCTATTTTTCTTTCTCTTAATACCCTTTCAAAACAGTAATATTCTGAAGGGATACTTGTTTCTTCCCACTCTATTAGAATGGTAACACTACATCATCTTAAGAGTTCCTTCTAAATCCTCATATCTATCTTTCTAGGTTGGTCTTGATTCTTGTGTTATCTTTCAAAGTTCCTCTGGTCTTTGCTTCAGAAATGCTTGGAAGTCCTCTATTCCATTAAAGATTTATGATGCATCCCACCCCGCCCCCTGGAAGATATCCAACTTTTGAGGGTAATTTGTTATTGTCTGTAAGCCACTCTCTTGTTTTTGGAATACCATGTTCTAGTTTTCAGGGAGTTCATTACTTGGGTAAGGTTTACCACTTTTCCTTCTTAAGCTATTTATTCTAATTTCAATGCTTTCCTTTTCCTTTTCCACAGCTTTTATGTATTTAAAAAAAACTCTTGCTTCATTTCTTCTTGAAATTTATGTAGTTCTTGTGGACAATCCAGTTTTCTTTTCCTTTTTAAAAGCCATTGCTTGCAGTTGTGTTATTTGCTCAATCATCAATAGTCAATAATTTTTATTTTAGTTATTCTTTAAAAATTTACTCATTTCTCTAGCTTTAATTCCTGAACTGGGGATTTACGCTACATTGTAGCTTTCTCTGCTATCACTGCACTTTTGGATGAGATGAGTAGCCCTGTTTGCTCTTGTCCAGGCATTCCTGTGTTCCTGTGCTGACCTTTTTGAGCTCCCAGAGTTTTTCTCAGTGCATCTTCTGTTCTTGCTCATTTTGGATCCTTGCACACTAAAACTATCTTTGGCAACTACCTTTTTTATTGTCCATGGGCTTCCAGATCACTTTTTATGCAGTTCTGATACAAGAGAAGTCACTTAATGTAGTTTCTCATTGAATTTCTTGAAAAATTTTCAAATATGTGCACATTTCAGGATTTTGCTGTGTAGGTATGAGAAATGGGCATTCTGCTTCCTATTCAGGCAGCCATCTTGTGGGGTGGTCTGCCTTTGATTTTTAAAGGAAGGATCTTCCTTGAGATATGCAAATCAGGATTTCCCACGCACTACTGAAATCACAGGTTGAAACTACAGTCCTCAACTCCAACAGACAAAATAAAGGGGAAAAAAATGTATTATGTACACAAGGAAAACTTCAACAAACTTTTGAGCATTAAGCATATTTCATTTTTAAATAAACAGGAGTATTTACATAAAAATACTCACCATCCTCGAAGAACCTTAAATGAATGTGGTATGAAGTCTGTCATATCAGAAATATGGTGTGTGAAATCTACACAATTTCCTTGGAAATTTGGTTGATCGTATGCTTTCAGCTGTAAGAAAGTAAAACCCACAACTAAAAACCAGGGGGAAAAAAGTATCTACCATATATAAAAGCCAAAACACAGTCCATCTTCTTTATGCACACAAAATCACAGAAATCAGTGACTATTTCAGTGCATATCTTTCAACAAAAACAGACAGCTGAATCATCCATCATACAGTTCATTTCTGGATAACAGTATTGGAGGGTATCCCTTCACAGATTCACTCTGAATAAAACTTTATCATCTCACTGGACCTGGAATTAGGAAGACCTGAGTTCAAAATCAGCTTCAGATACTCATCAACTAGGTAACCCTGGGCAAGGCACTGGATTTCTGCCTGCCTCAGCTTCCTCATCTGTAAAACAAAGGTAATAATAGCACCTACCTCTCAGGGTTGTTGTGAGATAATATTTGTAAAGTGCTTTGCAAAACTTAAGAGAGCTATATGAATGCTAGCTATTATATTTATTACTATTATTTTCATCTCCCATGCTTCTAAAAATAAATTTCATTTATCACTTTATTCACCTTCCCATATTAAGTTCTAGCCACAGAGAGATAAACCTGGAAACAAATTCATCCTCTGAAATAAATTAGAATTTCTCCTTCATGAAAACACTACTTGTCAATTCTACTAATTCAGCTTCATTTCCTATGGTGGTACCACATGTATCTAAAGGAAAAGAGGAAATTCTTTGTTGACCCTACATTTTGAAGAGGAAAGAATAAATTAGTACTGTGTTTCTCTCTACTTGACGTCCTAAGCCACAGTTAACAAAGAGAAAATAGGGGGATACAGTAGAATAGAATCAATCCATTAATCAAGTACATATGACATTTCAGGCTGTGAGGATACAAAGACAAAAAAATGAAACAAAAATACTCTTCCCCTACTTTAGTGTCATTCTGAGCTTACATTTTATCAGGTAGAGTCAACAAGTATACATAAAAGTATATAAAACAAATACAAGATAATTTTGGAGAGGAAGACAGTAGCAAGTGGGGAATCAGTCAAGAAGAGTTATATTTTAAAGGGACTATGAAATGCTACAAGGTAGAGATGAGGCAACAGTACATCACAGGCACAGGGGATGGCCAGTAAGTACAAAGCTTTTGAGATGTGAGAAGTAATGTTGTGTGAGAAGTAGCAAGAAGGCCATTTTGGCTGGACTAAGGAGTGTATAAAGGGAAGTAATGTATGGAAAGTAAAGTTTAGAAAAGCATGTTTACATTAGGTTATAAAGAGGTTTAAATGCCAAAGAGAAGATAATAGGGCACCACTGGAATTTATTAAGTAGGGGAGTGATATGATAAGACCCATGCTTCAAAAAAAATCACATTGACATGTGGAGGATGGAAAGTAAAGGACAGAAAGAAACTTGAGGCAAAGACTTATTAATTATAAGGTTATTACAATCATGCAGGTAAGAGATCGTGAGAGCTTAAAATAGGGTAGTAGAGTGGAGAGAAAGTTATTTATGTAAGTAAAACATGTTACAGGGTTAGAATTAATTTATGAGATATATAGTAAGAGAGAACAATCAGGACAATGCTGAGGTTTTGAACCAGGGTGATTAGAAGAATAAAGATGCCTTTCAAAGAAATAGGAACTCCATAAGAGTTTAAGTATAATATTTCTGTTGAAGATTTTACTGAAGAAATTTTAATATTTAATATAATATCCCTTAGAACTGAAGGGGACTTTAGATTTAAATAACATTTAAAGTGCTTAAAACCTTACAAAACGCTATTATCGTGGCTATTTAACATATATATGGCATATATAGAATAAGCAGCTGGCACAGTGCACAAAGCACTAGATGTGGGGTCAAATCCTATCTCAGACACTAGCTGTGTGGCTCTGGACAAGTCACTAACTAGTCTGCCTTTAATTTCCTCTTCTGTAAAATGAGGATAATAACGGTACCTACCTTATGGGGCCATTTTGAGAATTAAATGAGATTAAAATATTTATAAAGTGCTCTGCAAATGTTAAAGCACTACAAAAATATTATTATTATTGTTAAGAAACTAAGGCTCTGAAAAGTAACTTGTCCATGGTGACACACTGAGGACCCTAGGATCACAGATTCAGAGCTAGAAGAAACCTTAGAGTTTATCTAGTACAATCTTTTTGCTGTGTAAAACAAACTGAGATCCAAAAAGGTTTGGTTGAAAAGAACAGAGCCAGGCTCTGGACCCTGGTGGTCCTCTGACTTCAAATCCTATGCTCTTTCCATTATACTGCTCTACCTCCAATACTGTGAAAACTGAATTAACAGGGCTTGGCAAGTGACATCAAACAAGAGAAAAGGACTCATAAAAGCCTCCAAGGTTTCATTTATTAGGTAAATATTAAGATGCTAGTGCTATAAATTAGTTAAATTAGTAAAGAGTACAGAATTTGGAGGAAAAAAAGAGAAATTCAAATTTTAGGCATGAAGAATTTGAAGTTTCATTCTTTAAGGAGGTAGGAAGCATGCTTCATCCTAGGGTCCCCTTGAATTGAGATTAGTCACTGCACTGCTTGCCTTTCAATTTTGCTTATCTTTACAATGTTGTTAATATAAGCTTAATATAATCCTAAATTTCTCAAAACCATCTCTTTCATCATGTTTTAACAGCAGTTGTTACTGAGGGCAGCAAGGGGCACAGTAAAGTGCCAGGCCTGGGGTCAGAAAGATTCATCCTCCCGTGTTCAAATATGGCCTCAGACTTTACTAGCTTTCTGACCCTGGGCTAGTCACTTAACCTTGGTTGCCTCAGTTACTTAATCTGTGAAATGAGTTGAAGAAGCAAATGGCAAACTATTCCAATATCTTTGCCAAGAAAACCCCAAATGGGGTCATAAAGTATTAGATATGTATGAAAAATAACTGAACGACGACAACTGAAGTTTCTCTGAAATCATCCCTTCGTCATTTTTTTTAACAGCACAATAATATTCTATTACATTCACATACTATAATTTGCTCAGCCATTCCCCAATTGATGGGTACCTCCTTATAGTTTCCAGTTCGTTGCCACAGAAGACATATGGGTCCTTTTCCTCTTCTTTGGTTCTTTTTTGAGGATATTGCTATTGCTAGGTCAAAGGGCATGCCCAATTTAATAACTTTTGGGTCATTTTTCCAGATTGCTTAGCAGAATGGCTAGACCAATTTGCAGCTCTACTAATACTGCGTTAACGTGCTTTTTTCTGCTCAGCCCCTCCAACATTTTGGCATTTTCCTTTTTTGACAACTTTTCTAAGCTGATGGGTTCCTTTAATTGCACTTCTCTGATTACTGGCAATTTGGAGCATTTTAAAAAAGGTACTGCTACCATATATTTCTTTCTTATACACCTGCCTGCTCCTATCTTTTAACCATTTATCATTTAACAGACTTAACTGTTAATGCAGTCTTCCATATATATGTATAATACAGTATTATACATAATATAAAATAGAAATGTTTATTTCTATAATATAAATAATATATATACTAATATATCATATATAAATTGTGTGTATGTATATGTATATATGTGTGCATGTAAACACATACATATGGACTGGTCATCATACTGCAGAGGCGATTAGATTTATTGTTTGACCCTAGAAAGGAGGACTAGTATTAGAAGTCTCAGAGAGTTTTGTATATACACATCATATCATACATATGTTAAGTATATACATATGTATGTATGTGTATATATGCACAATACATACACATGTACATACATATACATACACACATATAAACACATATAGCTCCAAAATCTAACTTGCTGAAACTTCTATTTGCTAGTACTAGTTCTACTTTCCGGGGTCAAATGGAATAAAACCAATCCCTCATAATGTTATAACCCTTCAAGTATCTAAAGATGATGATGACTGTGTCCCCCTAAGGTCTTTCTTGTTTAGGCCTAACATTCCTAATTCCTTTGGTTGATCCTAACATGCAATCAGGAGGTGATGTGCTATGGGGAAGAGAACACTAGATGTGGACTTAGAGGACCTGTTTTCAGATCCCAGCCCTGCCACCCAAGAACTGTGTGACCTCAGGAAAGTCACTTAAAGTCTTTAGTTTATTACCTGTAAAATGAGGAGGGCATGTACTCTGTGGTTCCCTTCTAACTTAAGGTATATGATCTTATGATCATAGTGCCTGGCAAATAGGTGCTTAATAAATGTTTACTGATTGATTTATTAATTTACTTGCCACTCAGTGTACTTCCTAACCTGTGGTATAAAAGCCTCTTTGAGCCCAGACTGTCTTCAAATGTGTTGCTTTGCGTCATTTTAAAATTTATTATTTATACCACTTATACCTTCATCCAAGTCATTGATAAAAATATCAAATAGCACATATCCAAGTAGAGATCCCTGGAACACTCCAATGGAGATCTTGACCAAGGTGAAACTGAACCACTGACACCTATTCCTGAAGTTCAACCATTTGACCAGTTATAAATGGAATGTCTTAGTGTTTCTTCTTCTTCTTCTTCTTATTATTATTATTAATACACATCAATAAGTACATATCTGTAGACAGATATCCCTTCAAAATAATTATCATAACTAGCAGGCAACCCCATCCCTCATCAAGCATAACAGCTGTCAATTATTATCAAGTCCCACCTCTCCAATAACTGGATCAACACTGTCTATTCACAAATAGTCCATAACTCTTTAACAAACAATAATACTTGAAAATGACTGTATGATATGTTCATACCTTAAACTAATTTATTAGAAGTCTCAGAGAGTTTTGTATATACACATCATATCATACATATGTTAAGTATATACATATGTATGTATGTGTATATATGCACAATACATACACATATACATACATATATATACACACATATAAACACATATGGCTCCAAAATCTAACTTTCTGAAACTTCTATTTGCTAGCACTAGTTCTGCTTTCCGGGGTCAAATGGAATAAAACCAATCCCTCATAATATGATAACCCTTCAAATATCTAAAGATGATGATGACTGTGTCCCCCTAAGGTCCTTCTCGTTTAGGCTAAACATTTGCTTATTTGAAAATAACCTGGATAATTTAAAGAGTTCTGCTGACCTTTTGATCCAACTATCCCATTACTTGAACAAGTACCCTTGAAGACAAAAAGACTGCAGGATATTTATTGTAGCCCTTTCTTGTGATAGCAAAAAAGGGAAAACAAAGTCAATTCCTAATAATTATAGAATGACTGAAAATTGTGCTCAACAAATAAAATAGAATGTTATTGTTATTGTGCTGAAATAAAATAATGAGGAATGCAGAGAAATAACGGAAGACTTCTAAAGTTGCAAGATAACTATGTGCAACAATAATAAGGTGCATTTTAAAAATACTAAAAATCCAAACTTATATTTATTGTAATGGTGCCAACTGTTTCATACACTACAACACGTGGCCAATGTCAATGGATTTTTCTTACTTTTATTCCTTTATAACAAGGTAGGGTCTCATCATTTATAAACTTTGGTTAAAAGAGCTCTATTGAAGGAAATGTTAGGTTTGACATGGATTTATCCTGATTTTTATTTTATTCTTAAAAAGTGGTAAAGCAGGGGCAGCTAGGTGGCGCAGCACATAGAGCTCTGGCCTTGGAGTCAGGAGGACCTGAGTTCAAATCTAGCCTAAGATACTTGACACTTACTAGCTGTGTGACCCTGGGCAAGTCACTTAACCCCAACTGCCTCACCAAAAATAATAATAATAATAAAATACTAAAAAAAAAGTGGTAAAGGAGGAAAACGTACCCCTGTGGCTTTTCTCACTCCCTTACCCTTTCTTACTATACATATCTGTCTAACACTCTCCTTTGTGGAAAGCATCTCCAAGCACACAAACAGAACTTACAAGTAAAAAACTAATTATCTCCTTGACCAGTTCCATCAAGTTGTTTTACTTTTAAAACACTTCCAACAACATCTTTTTTACAGAATACTTTACAGAAGACTAAGAATAAGATGGACATTAAAGTAACATAGAAGGCTATAAACTGAAAACTGAGTTTATAAAAGTAGAATCCTTTTTTTATATAAATATACCTAGTTACTAAAAAAAGTGCCACTTTTTAAAAAAGTATTGCTAAAGACAATAAACAGTAGGAAATTTTATACTGTAACCACACTACATAATACCATTCATCACTGAGAAGAATTTGTTATGAGATGGAACAATACTGGACAAAATTCAAGGGTGTTTAGTTACTGAAATACCAAATAAATCTTAATATAATGTAATTTCTTGGCATGAACTCTCAGGACAGAACTATAATGAGATTTTATTTTTATACAGTGCTTGACAGGCCATATCATATCTTGACCTAAAAATTTCAATGTAATGTTTCTGAATAATAATATCATTGATTTTTTTTGACATAGGGACTAGGAAGTAAGAGAGATGGAAATTACAATATTATTGCTTCCTTTAATAAGAAATGTGGTTACAGAAACATATTTTTACATTTAACAGGTTAAGCAACAAGATTTCAATAATAAGTCTATTCACCAAAAAGTAGTGTGAATAAGAATGTGACCCAAAGGAGAGGGTGTGAATGGGGAAAAAATAGTGGCAAAGACCCAAAATTATTCCAGAGTGGTATGAGTTACTGACATTATTAGAGAAAGACAAAGGGAATTGTGACTAATCCAGTCCCAATAACCACTGACAAATAAATGTTTACATTACAAGATACCAAATGTATTATAAACCATCTTGCCCCTAGGTAGGAGATATCAGAGCAGAGGATCTTATAGGAAAGGCAGAAAGATTTACCACAAAGCACTTAAAAAAAGTTATGAAATAAAAATGATGTTTCTTTTAACATACCAGATATGGAGGCTCATTTGTCCCAAGAGGTTCCTGCAAAAAAAAAAATACATATAGCTTTTAAAAGTTATCTCAAAAACTGTGCATACATTCTTCATTATCTTTCTGAAATAAAAACACTTAAAAAACAATAAAATGTTCACACTAATTTTGTGGTTCATTTTATGGACCACTGGGACCAAAGGGCAAGGGAAGAATGCATGGGTGGAGATGGAGAAGAATTTAGGAAGAAGAGATCCACAGACCTATCTATGCCTATAGCGTTGATAAAGATTCTGCTGTTTTATTTTAGTCACCTTCTGGGACTAACACTGTTAGCACTGACTTTCTGAGTTACATGCAGGCCCATTTTACACTAGGGGTTCTTAACTGATGAATCATGAGCATAAAAAATATATATATTTTGCAAGCTATTTCACAATATAATTCCTTTTCAATCCTATATTTTTAATTTGAGTTTATGCTTTAAAAACATATTCTGAGGAGTCCTTAGGCTTCACCATTCTGCCAAAGGAGTTAATGATACACAAAAAAGTCAGGAATCTCTGTTTTGCCCTGAAGGGCCCAATGATTCTTGTGGCAGGTGACTCCACTGGCGATGTTCTCAGGGAGATACAGTCCTTTCAGAGACAGGATCTTCATCTAAAGCAGGGGTTACTAATCTTTGTTCTGTCACAGACTCCTTTGGCAGTTTGGTGAAGCCAATGGACTCCTCAGAGCAATGTTTTAGATGTATAAAACAAAATACACATGATTATAAAACAAACCAATGGAGCTGAAGTACATAATCATAATATTTAAAAAATGAGTTCATGAACATCAGATTAAGAATCCTAAAGGTTCTCTCCCTATGTTCCTAAATAAGCCATGGCCAACAATGGTTAATTCTCTGAATTAACCAAAGACAATGAGCTCTGGTATTCACATACAAGTGACATTTAACAAGTTATCTGTGCTGCCTTTTAGAGATGTTTATAGTTACATTATATGATCTCACTGTGGTCAACTCAAAGGCATACAAGAAAACAAAACTAATCAGTGACCTAAATAATTTTTTACCAAAATATTTATAATTTAACTAATGTAATATTAAATGGTAATATTAAAAAATTAACTCACCAGTCTAACAGGCCTTATTGACAGGATTTGGTTGTTGGATCCTCCCCAGTCAAAAAAACTCTTGTACTTCCCTTTCTCTAGTATATACTGCTCTCCACAGAAGAACTGCTGTTGGTAGCCAACCCAACTAACACAGAAAGACAGAAAGCAATGTTAGGAAATTCAGCAATACCACAGGTACATTAAGCTGTCTAATTCTGATAATAAAAATACTTTGCATATCTCTGCGAAAAACTTACACTCCACTTTTAACATGAATAGATCTTGTTTCATTACCAAACCCGACTTCTTCCAAATCAGGAACATCTCGATTAATAATATTAACAAACTTTGAGTTTTCTACATCAGACTCAAATAGTGTGATTGAAGATTCTATGAAATTCTAAAAAGAGAAAAGTTAGGGGAAACACAAGTAAGTTATTTTTATAGACAACTGTAGTTCAGTTTAATTTTTTTATAAGTTAGAGAATGTATGTTTCCTTACTTGGATTTAATATAGAGCATGACCTCTACCTCAAAACAATTTTTTTTATTCCTATTACGAGGTGGGTCCTTTGAATAATTAATACAAATCATCTCCAATGTGAAATATTCAAGAAAATAACAATATAACCAATTAATGACATCATTTTCTATTTTAATTATGCTATTTTAGTAAGGAAAAAAATTTCTTACAAATAGAGCTATCCTAAAGTTGAACAGGCTTCTTTGGGATCCTTCGCTGGAGTTCATCAAGGCAAAATTGGATGAAAGGATTCTTGTATAGCTATGGTTTGAACTACATGTATGTATGTGTGTGTGTATATGTGTATACATGCTCCAGATAAGGAGTGAGGGAAATAGTGTGGCAAGGTTTTCTAAAAATTTTACCAAAATTTTGGACAAATGTAACATAGGATTTAATTTAGCCTCTGAAGAGAAAGAATCAAGGATTATTTCTTGTTTACTGAAAAAGTAGAAATGAAAATATAAAACCAAATGCTTCATTTCATCCCTATCTCATTAACTATGAACACTTTTTTTTTTGGCTCAATTATCAGGTGTCCAGAAAATTATATCAGTTACTTATCCTTTACTTTTTTCATGCACTCTAGACATTGGGGTAGGTATCTGAAGACTCTAAATTAGGATTTTCCTTTTTAAACAATTATATTTTTAAATACAAAGGAAAATATGAAAATTAATCAATATACTAACTGAGAAAGCAATAATAAGGGCAACAAGTTTTGTTTACAAGCAAATCATTCTCCACCACTCCTCAGCTACCACATTCATATTCTCTCTTTTCTCAGATTCATGATGTTGAGAATGGATGTCAGTGATATTTGAAGGATCACAGAAAGCAGCAAAGGTAGGTTAGGAGTAAAAACATTTATGTGTCCCAATTTAAAAAAAAGAGAGAGAATATAGTTAGCAAACTACAAGCCAGTGAGCTTGACTTTGATTCATAGGGAAAATCTAGAACTTACTGTTAGAAAGTTAGTAAACGTTAGAGAAGAAAGAGTGATCACTAAGAACCAGTATTAGCACAGCTTTATGTGAAGAACAGATCAGGCTGGACTAACATTATTTCCCATTTTACAGGGTTATTAAAGTGGTGCATCAAGAAAATAGAGAGTTCTATTTGTACATACACACACATATATTCTAAAATTTAGATAAGTTATATGTAGATTTTTGTAAACACTTCATGAATATTATGCTATTTTTTTGTGGGAAAAAAAATAGAAAGATGTGGACTTAAAGAATAATCATTATGATTCTCCAACAACTTAGAAGGAAATCTCCAAGGACCTCTCTCAGGCATCTGTTAGGCCTTTTTCTGTTTAAAAATCTTATTAATGACTTGGACAAAGGCATAGAAAGCATGCTTATCAGACTTACAAATGATACAAATACTTTTGTATTGTATATACAAAATGCTTTTTGCATTGTAAGGAATGAAGGGACAGTTTCAGAGAAACCTTGGAAGACTTGTATTACATGACGTAGAGTGAAGTGAGTAGAAACAGGATAATGTATACAAAAACAGTGAAAAGAAAAACAACTTTGAGGGAGTTAAGAACTGAAAATCTTTCCTTTTCTGCCATTCAGTTTTGGAAAGGAATATGGAAGAGGTATGAATGGGGGAAATTGGAGGGGGGAAGAGAAAGAAGGAAGGAAGAGAGGAAGGGAGGGAGGTGGGGAAAGAGAAGAGGAGGGAGAAAGGAAGGGTGTATCAATGAAGCATTATAAAAAAAATGAACAGGGGCAGCTAGGTAGCACAGTGGATAGAGCTCCAGCCTTGGAGTCAGGAGGATCTGAGTTCAAATGTGGTCTCAGACACACAGCACACAACACTTACTAGCTGTGTGACTCTGGGCAAGTCACTTAACCCTGACTTGCCTAGCCAAAAAAAAAAAAAAGCACAGAACAGAAAGCAGGCCATAAAGTAATACTGACAAGCAGGACAGCTTTTAAAGTGACATGTTCAATTTATTATACACTTAAAAAGAAAAGTAATCTGCATGTGAAAGACTTGCCCTGGGTCATTCAGCCAAGATTCAAACCCATGACTTTCTGACTCCTGAGCAAAACACTCTATTCACAAAATCAATTTTTAAAGGTACAGAATTATTTTTGGAATGTACCATATTTGTTAAGTTTATCATATCCTCTATTTAACTTAAATAGGTCTAGTTTCAGATACCTCCTACTCAGCTCTATTTATATTAAATTATATATGTATAATTACATTTATATTAAAAGAGAAAAAATTCATTCAAAACTGGGGGTAGGATATTCTGAATAATGAGCTAAAGTTTCCTTAATTAATCCATGTAAGCATACAGACTAATAAATGTTTCATCTTGTCTATTATGTTTTGCTCTTTTATAAAAATATATTTTAACATTCATTTAAAAAAATTGTAGGGGGGTTGCAGCCAAGATGGTGGAGTAAAAGCAGTTACTTGCTTGAGTTCTCCCTGCAAAACCCCTCCAAATACCTGCAAAAAATTGCTCTAAACAAATTCTAAAGCAGCAGAACCCACAAACAGACCATTGGCCAAATGGAAAAGGAAGTCCAAAAGCTCAATGAAGAAAATACTTCCTTAAAAATCAGAATGGAGTGATTGGAAGCTAGTGACTTTATGAGAAATCAAGAGATTGTAAAACAAAACCATAAGAATGAAAAAATAGAAAACAATGTGAAATATCTCACTGGAAAAACAACTGACCTGGAAAATAGATCCAGGAGAGAGAATTTAAAAATGATTGGACTATCTGAAAGCCATGATCAAAAAAAAAAGAGCCTAGACATCACCTTTCAAGAAATTATCAAGGAATACTGCCCTGATATTTTAGAACCAGAGGGCAAAATAGAAATGGAAAGAATCCACTGATCACCTCCTGAAAGAGATCCCCAAAGGAAAACTCCCAGGAATATTGTAGCCAAATTCCAGAGTTCCCAGATCAAGGAGAAAATATTGCAAGCAGCCAGAAAGAAACAATTCAAGTATTGTGGAAACACAATCAGGACAACACAAGATTTAGCAGCTTCTACATTAAGAGACTGGAGGGCACAGAATATAATATTCTGGAGGTCAAAGGAGACAGGATTACAACCAAGAATCACCTACCCAGCAAAACTGAATATAAGCCTTCAGTGGGGAAAATGGACATTCAGTGAAATAGAGGACTTTCAAGCATTACTGATGAAAAGACCAGAGCTGAATAGAAAATTTGACTTTCAAATTCAAGAAATATGAAGAGGTAAACAAGAAAGAGAAATCATAAGGGGCTTATTAAGGTTGAGCTGTTTACATTCCTGTATGGAAAGATGATATTTGTAACTCATGAAACCTTTGTCAATATTTGGGTAGATGGAGGGAAAAAAATTATATGTATGTATATATATTGATTGATAAATAGAAAAATCCCATTTAAAGTAACTGTAAACAGTATAATATATTTGGGAGTCTTCCCGCCCCCCCAAAAAAATCCCACAGACCATATGGACACAATTATGGAATACTCTTGGCACAAATAAAGACAGATCTAAACAAATGGAGAACTATTAATTGCTCATAGGTAGGTGAGCTGAAGATGAAGGGGTGATATCTGGAGAATAAAATTAAGAGATGAGAGAGGATTATACTGGGAGAAGGAAAAAGGGAGAGGTAGAATATAGTAAATTATCTCACATAAAACAGACAAGAAAATAGACAGTGGAAAGGAAACGGGGAAAGGTGAGAGAGAATGAATCTTATTGTCATCAGATTTGTCTTAAGGAGGGAATAACATACACACTCAGTTGGGTATGGAAACCTATCTTACCCTACATGAAAACAGGGGGAAAGGGGACAAGAGAGCAGGGGTATGATAGAGGGGAGGGCAGACAGAGGGAGGGGGTAATCAGAAGCAAACACTTCTAAGGAAGGACAGGGTCAAAAGAGAGAACAGAATAAAGGGGGGGCAGGATAGGATGAAGGGAAATATGCTTAGTTTTTCACAACATGACTACTATGGAAGTGTTTTTGCATGACTACACATGTATAACCTGTATCGAGTTGCTTGCCTTCTCAATGAGGGTGGGTGAGGAGGAAGGAAGGGAGAAAATTTGGAATCCAAAGTTTTAAAAACAAATGTTAAAAATTGTTTTCACATGCAACTGGGAAATATGATATACTGGCAATGGGGTATAGAAATATATCCTGTCCTACAGGAAAATTGAAGAAGAGGATAAGAGAAGGGTGGGGGGAGATAGAACAGAGGGCAGATTAGGGGAAGGGGTATTCAGAATGCATGTCATCTTGGGGTGGGGGGGGAGGGATGAGATGGGGAGAAAATTTGGAACTCAAAATCTTGTGGAAGTAAATGCTGAAAACTAAAAATAAATTAATAAAAAAAAAGGAGAAAAGAAAAAAAAATTTGAGTTCCAAATTCTCTCCATCTTTCTAGTCCCTCCTCCATAAGGCAAGCAATATGATACCATTATACATGTGAAGTTGTGCAAAATATATTTCCATATTAGCCCTGTTGAAAAAACAAACAAACAAACAAAAAACACTATGCTTCAATCTGCTCTCAGAGTTCATTAATTATCTTTCTGGAGGTATATATTGAGTCCTGTGGAATTGTCTTGTATCACTGTCTCACTCACAGTACCCAAGTCTTTCACAGCTGATCATCCTTACCATATTGCTATTTTTGTGTATAATGTTCTGGTTCTGTTCATTTCATATAAGTCTTCCCAGGTTTTTCTGAAACCATTCTGCTCATCATTTCTTATAGCACAACAGAATTCCATCACAATCATATACCACAACTTGTTCAGGCATTTTTCAATTGACGGGTATCACCTTAATTTCCAATTCTTTGCCACCACAAAAAGAGCTGCTATAAATATTTCTGTACATATAGGCCCTTTTCCCTTTTCTTTGATCTCTATGAGATTAAAATCTAGTAACAGTACTGCTGGATCAAAGGCTATGCACAGTTTAAATCCCTTTGGGCAAAGTTCCAAATTGTTCTCCAGAATGGTTGGACCACTTCACAACTACACCAATAGTACACTGGTGTCCTTATTTTTCCACTTCCACTCTAGTATTTGACATTTTTCTTTTCTACATGTTAGCCAGTCTGATAGGTTTAAGATGGTACCTCAGTTTTTAAAATATGCATTTCTCTAATTAATAGTGATTTATAAGACTTTTTCATATGACTATTGATAGCTTTGATTTCTTCTTCTGAAAAGTGCCTGTTTGTATCCTTTGAGCATTTATCAATTGGATGATAGCTACTCTTTTTTAAAATCTGACTCAGTTCCCTATATATTTGAGAAATAAGGCTTTTCTCAGGGAAATGTGCTGTAAAACTTTTCCCCCAGATACCTGCTTTTCTTCTAATTTTAGGTGCATTGGTTTTGTTTGTGAAAAAAGAAAACTCACATAATCAAAATTATCCATTTTACTTCTCATGATCTACTCTATCTGTTATTTGGTCACCAACTTGTCCCGTATACATAGATCTTAGAAGTGAATTTTTTCATGCTCCCCTAATTTGCTTATATTACTCTTTACATCTAACCCATACACCTATTTAACTTCATCTTGGGGTATGGTGTGAGATGTTTGTTTATGCCTAGTTTTTGCCAAATTGCTTTCCACTTTTCCCAGCAACTTTTATCAAATACTGACTTTTTATCCCCCAAATTTAGATCTTTTGGTTTATCAAACATTAGATTACTATGGTTATTTTCTATTATATATTGTGTACCTAATCTGTTTGACAGATCTACTATTCTATTTCTCAGTCAGTACCAAAATGTTTTATGATTACTGCTTTGTAATAGTTTGAAATCTCAAACTGCTAGGCCACCATCCTTCACATTTTTTTCCAATGATTTCAATTATTTCTTGACCTTTTGTTCTTCCAGATGAATTTTATGATTTTTTTTAGCTCTATAATTCTTTGGTAGACTGATTGGTATGGCACTAAATAACTAAATTAATTTAAATAGTGCCATTTTTATTACACTGACTCGACCTACCTGTGAGCAATTAATCATTCTCCAATTGTTTAGATCTGTCTTTGTGTCAAAAGTATTTCATAATTGTGTTCATATAGTCCCTGGGATTTTTTTTGGGGGGGCAGGAAGACTCCCAAATATTTTATACTATTTACAGTTACTTTAAATGGAATTTCTCTATCTCTTCCTTTGTTTTTGTTGGGTTTTGTTGTGAGACAATTGGGGTTAAGTGCCATGCCCAAAGTCACATAGCTAGTTAGTGTTATGTATCTGAGGCTGGATTTGAACTCAGGTCTTCCTGACTCTAGGGCCAGTGCTCTATCCACTGCACCACCTAGCTGCCCCCATCTCTTCTTATTTTGATGGTAATATATAGAAATGGTGATGATTTATGTGGGTTTATTTTATGTACTAGAACTCTGTTAAAGTTGTTAACTTTTTCAACTAGTTTTTTAGTTGATTCTCCAGGATTCTCTAAGTTAAATTATATTATTTGCAAAAAAAAGTGATATTGTTTCCTTGCTGCTTTTTCTTACTCCTTCAATTTTTTTTTGTCTTATAGGTTTAGCTAGTATTTCTAGTACATTACTGAATAATAGTGATAATAATGGACATCCTGTTTCACATCTAATCTTACTGGGAAAGCTTCTCGTTAATCCTCATTACAAATAATTCTTATTCTTGGTTTTAGATAGTTACTATTTATCATTTTAATAAAGGCTCCATTTATTCCTATGCTTTCTAGTGTTTTTAATAGGAATAGATGTTGTATTTTGTTAAAAGCTTCTTCTGCATCTGCTGATACAATAATATGATTTTTGTTATTGATACAGTCAATTACACTTATAGTTTTCCTAATACTGAACCAGTCTTGCAGTCCTGCTCTGAATCCCATTTGGTGTCTGGTCATAGTGTATGATCTTTGGCATATTTTGCTATAATTTCCTTGCTAGTATTTTATTGAAAATTTTTGCATAAATATTCATTAGGGAAATTAGGCTATAGTTTTCTTTCTCTGTTATTGCTCTCCCTGGTTTGGGTATCAAAACTATATTTGTGTTACAGAAGGAATTTGGCAGGACTCCTTCTTCATCTGTTTTTTTCATATTGTTCTGGAATTGTTCTTCAAATGTTTGGAAGAATTCACTTATAAATCCATCTGGACCTGGAGAACTTTGCTTGATTTTTAACAGAAAAGCTGAACGACATCAGTGAAGTTGTGAAATGTGTCAGTAATCCTGAAAAACAATTAGAAATTGTGCTAAAAAAGTAACCAATAGTTCTACATTCTTTGACCCAGATATACGACTGCATTGATTTCCCAAGGAAGTCCAACGAAAAAAGGTCAAATATATAACAAAACATTAACTGTGGAACTTTTGTGATAGCAAAAAACTGGAAATAAAGTATATGTCTATCAGGTGGGAAGCAGTTGAAGAAATTGTGGTACATGAATGAAATAAAATATTACTCTACCGTAAGAGGCGACAAAAGAATTCAAAGAAACATGAGAAGATATATATGAACTGATACAAAATGAGAGTAACAAAGTAAATGTAAAATAAAATACAAAATTGAATGCTGTGTAATTACAATGAGCAAGCCTGGACCAGAGGAGTTAACAAAATATACCTCTTTTTTTTATTGGGGAGATGGGATAAGGCATGGGAGTGGAGAGCAGGAGTGTAGGAAATGGCTTATACTTTCCAATACAAAATATATGTGGGTTGGTTTTGCTGAACTACCCTTTTTTTTTCACTTTCTTTCTTAATCTTCGTTCAAAAGGAGATCTATTCTCCTTTAGGAGAAATAATATATTGGAAAGGAGATGTGATATAAAAGCAGAAGGCATCAATTTTAAAAAATAACAAAACCAAGTTTGGCATAACAGTGAAAATCTATAGAACATCTATTGAAAACTTCAAAGCCTGTCCTCAATTAAAGATGAAGAACTACTACCAAGAAAAACAGATGCATTTCTAAACTGTATTTATCAGTATATTTCTTCTTTCAGATGCAAGTAATTTCTAGCTTACCTTATACTGATATGTGTAAGCATAAATATGGATTTCCTTATTTGTCTGTATTTCTACATAATCTGAATAGGAATTTATCAAATCCTAAGAGAGATGATTAAGAAAGAGATAAAACTTTGAAGGGTAGCTGGTAGAAATGGGCTCTATAGCCACCTTAAAGCCTGCTTTAATTAAATGTTCCCAGATACATGTTTAGGAATTTACAAAGCAAAAGTTATGATATATTTTTAACAGAAACCCGAGTGGATAAGATTTGTCTCTCTTAGCATCCTGAGACATCACTGGAAAGATAAGCACAATTTGTCAAGAAATAATATATATTTCATAATGTATCATGACAATATGGCAAATAATATACTGAACCAGGCACTTCAACCTCATGATACTCAAGTGTCAGTAATATTTTATAATTTTGTAATCTGCACAGAATTATGATTGATTTTCAATGACTTATAAGATAAAGTGAATGGAAAAACAAATTCAGAAAAACAATGAAAACTTACTGCTTGTAAGTACCGGAAAGACAATAAAGTGCTATTTAACGTCTCCCAGGTACTGATGTCTTCGTATTCTCCCTCTTCAAGCAGATATTGTTGGCCTTTAAAATGTTCTTTTTCATAGGCAACCCACCTAGATATGCACATAACACAAATTCAGCAGTTAAATAAGTTGTAGTCAGTGAGTGTAATAAAGAAACAATACAAATGATTTAATTGATTATTACAAATCTAATGTTACAAACCAACATTAGTTTTCTTTTAGCTTAAAAACAATAATTCTTAGAGACTTTTCCCAAACAAAGGATTAATTGTAGGGATACAACAAAGCCATCTCTTTTTGAATGTTTGCAACATGATCTTATACCATATGCTTCAAAACAAATGGAATCCTGTTAGAAAAAATTACAAATAAAGAAGAGGAGAAAAGATAACTACTACCAAACTGAATCATGTAAGGTTGTTCCTGTTTTTAATCATTTATGCCCATGGGCTCAAACTTAAGGGTTTCTATGGTAAATCATTTCTCCAAGGCTCAAATCAGAAGATAATGTCACTAGATGTCAAGATAATTGCTATTTGGGAGGGAACACGTAAAAAGCAGCTAGGGAAGTCTGAGTTGCTTTGCAGGAAGGGGTGCTGGTTGCAGTCTTAAAGTCCTACATTTATTTAAAGATATATATAGATGTCTCCTGACAAAAAAAATTTGATATTACCATTGGAGATGACAAGAAACTGGAAGGAAACAAAATTATTACCTGCCTCCAAAATAAATTGAATGGCCAATAAAAATAAAAACAGTAAGTTACATAGAAAATAAAATCATCTCTTGATCTTAATATAGGGTTTTATGACTATATTAATTATTATTAAATGCCTTTTTGTTGTCTTCAAATGATATATGAATAACAACTCTATCTGGAATAATATTTGCATGGAAATTTTTAAAAATTGGCTGCAAAAAATTCAGTGAAAACAAATTTTGCACAGCCATTACAATTTGAAAGGAAATTTCATTTTAAAAAAGGTAAACTACAATCAACCAAGCAACAAGCACTGGTTGTGGACCTACTATATGCTAAGCACATATCCTGTGCTAAGCACTAGGGATACAAAATAAAACATGAAACTCAATGAGTTTACATTCTATATAAGGGAAGGTGACACGTGCAACACGTACGTGTGCAACATGTACATATAAAAATATATGAAAAATAAACATATGAAAAATAAACACAAGGCAATTTATGAGGCAGGTCAAAAATATTTGGAGATCACAAAAGAACTAATATTGAAAATTCACCACTCACACTCCACCAATGACACGAATTGATGCAATTCCAAAGAAATTCTCCTCATTTCTGAAAAGCTCTGGGACAGAGTCTACATGTTCATTAAATTCCTTGGCCTTCCCAAGGAAATGTGTTTTATCATATATAATCACCTACAAGATGAATGAGAGATATTTAATGTATAGAATAGCATATATTTACTAAATTTAAACAGACATTAAGATTAAATCAGAGGAAACAAGATAAAGAAAACAACATAAAACAAACATCAGAACATAAAGAACTTTAAAAGCCAAAATTCATCATCACCATAAAGGCACATCTATATCAAATAGCTAACATTTATATACATTCATATATTGTAGTGTTCTAACAATGCACTGGCTGGGGGGGAGGTCACTCCCCTAGAACTACTTAATAAGTGAGGAATTTCACGGTTACCATGAGCTTTCAGTACAAGTACAATTCTATAAACAATAAATACAAATACTGTATATAAAGATGCTTCCTGCAACACTCAATCCTTCCACATCCTTCACTGAATACTGAAGAATAGAAGACATGCCAATATTTGAACTGAAATGGACAATTACCAAAAAACATAAGACAAAACTAAAAGAGTAATAGTTTATATTTTTGTAGTTCTTTAAGGTTTGCAAAACACGTGACATAAATGATTTCATGTGATCCACACAACACTATGAAGTAGGGACTACAGGTATTATTAACCTCATTTTTGAAAAGAGGAAACTGAGGCTCACTGAAAACAGTTTGTTTCATTTTTGTAACCCTAATGGTGCCTGGCACATATTAAGTGCTTAATAAATGCTCCTCGAAGTAATGAATAAAAAAATAAGGCTCAGAGAAGCCAGGGGACTTGCTAGTAGCTATTCCACAATAACGAAGTTATCAAAAGCAGGATATGAATTCTGGTTTCTTCAGTTACAAAGCCAGTGTTCTTTCTACTATACCCCATTGTTTTAGAGGATGATAGCTATATGGAATTCTTTCTCTATTTGTATCATGTAAAAAAAACCCATACAAAAATAAAAGGGAAAAAGGACAAATTATTAAGAAAAAAATTTCTAGCATGTAATCTATATATCTTGTCCTTTCTTCTCTCTTAATCAATCCCAATTCATCTACTATATGTTAAATATCTCTACCTGAATGTACTAACCATCTCTGCAACTCAACTTATGCAAAATTGAATCCCTTAATTTTTACCTCTCCAGTGAACTTCGCTATGTTTGTGGAGGATACCATCATCTTTCCAATCACCCAGGTTCTGAGACATCTTTGACTTTTCCCACTTCTTCCAACCTCTTCCTCCTCCATACCATCAATCAGTTGCCAAATCTTCCAGATTCTATCACAGCATCTGCCACATCAGCTTCCTCTCATAATGCTACTATATGTCTAGACTGTTTTAATAGCATCTCAATTGCTCTCAGCTTCTAGTCTCTCTCTTCTACTATCTAGCCTCACATAGCTGCCTCAAAGTCTTCACAACAGTCTAATCATAACATTCCCTTGCTCAAACATCTTCATATGGCTCCCTATTGTCTAGAAAAAGAAGTGCATGTCTTTTCATGGCACTTAAAACCTTTAACAGTCTGTCAACAGTGTACCTATCCACCCTATTTCATATTATTCTCCTCTTATTTTCTGTACCCCATCCAAACTAGATTAATATCACGTCAGTCATCTCATGCCTCACGCTTAGCACCATCCCCTGTTCCCAGGCTAAAAGAAACTCTAGAAAAACTTTTGCCTTTCAAATTCCTTAATCTTCCTCAAGTGGTGGCTCAAGTGCCACCTTCTCTCAGAAGCCTTCCTGGATACTCCTTGCTATTACTGTTCTTTCACTCATCAAAACTTGCTAGAACACTTGGTCAGTTTGCTCCTTGGTCCCTCCACTCCCTACTTTGTACATAGTGCAGTGCCTAGCACACATTTAATAAATGTTTGTTGACCTGACTTGTGCGATATTGATCTGCGCATGCCCTATCTTTACCAGGAGGATGCAGCCTCCCTCCCTAAATGCAAAGTCTGGGTCAGGGGTAGGGAACCTGCAGCCTCACACATGTGGCTTCATGGCCGCAGGTTCCCCACCCCTGGCCTGGGTCATTCTATCTTGATACTGCTAGCAACTAGCAGAGAGCCTTGCTTATGGTAGACACTAAATAATTCTCTGTTGAATTCAATGCAGGCATTTATTCTATAGCTGAACATCAGAACAAAACGAATACAACAGACTCTGGTCAGTCTCAGAAAACAGTTCCTGGTGTTTCACACATCCCTTATCCTTCAGGACTACACGTGATGGGCCTTAACTTCTTGACAATGGCAGCCAGTTTCCCCAGATTCATACTGGTGAGTGGTATGAAGAGCTCTTAGCCGAGACAATTTTCTATATTATAGACAGGGGAAAAAGATAGATTTGTCCCCAACTCCCAAGATAATTTGGAGAAAAACTGTATCTACAGTCAGAGCAACAGGGCCAATGAAACGGCCCTTGGAAACAGAATAAGTAAGTGCCTCCTGGACACCATTAGTCACTTCTTCAGCAATTATGAATCTAGACTATAGACGCTCTTACAGAACTCTTAGGAGAAGAGTTGACAATCCAAAAGGAGAGTTAACATGTACACAAATAACTGTAATATAAGGCAGAATGTCATTATGGAATTCAAGAAAAGAAGAAATAATTTTTGGCAAGGAAAGATGAAGGGAAACAGGAAAAGCTCCATGAAGGAAGTAGCATTAGACCTGGGTCTTGAAGAATAGGTAGAATATTAATAAGTAGAAACCCAGAGAGTGAGAAGGACAAGCCAAATAGACAGAAATGGAGGTATTTTTTAGGCACTGACTAGTAGTACAATAAGGCTAAAGTTTAAGGCATGCATAGGAAATAAATAGGAGAGATGAGACTAGGAACATAGCTAGGGGGTCAGATGATAGAGGGCTTTAAGGTTAAGGATAAGTAACTTGGGCTTTATTTTATGGACAATGGGGAGTCAGTCATTTAAGGTTTTTGACTGGGGTGAGGTGGGGGGGGATGATGTGATCATGCCTCTGTTACAATCAAAGGTATGTTAACACTAGCAAGACTAATCTAGTAAAGCTCAGGTTAGAAAGGAATTGGGGAATGGTCTAGATGTGGAGAAAGCAGTCAGGAGACTATTGTAATAGTCTAGACATAAGATGATAAAAGCCAATACTATAGTGATAGTTGCTGGATGTAAAGGAAGGAAATGGATAAAATAAATATTTAGAAGGCAGAATGGGCAGGATTTGATAACTGAATAGAGTGGATAAGGGGGAAGGAAAGGTGGTACAAGGAAGAAAAATCAGTCAAAAAACAACTCCAGGTTTAAAAGCTAAGTGTCTAGGCAGGGGCGCTTAACATTTTATGAGATATGGACCTACATGGCAGTCTGGTGAAGCCTAATGATACTTTCTCAGAGGATTACAAAGATAATTATTATAATGAAATATATTTGTAATATTAGAAGCAAAATCTTTCTTCTCCCTTATTTACCTAGAAATTACTTCTATTTATAATTAATTCACCTTACACTGATTTTTATTTCTGGAAAAACACGAAAGGTATAACTAAAACAAAACCATGTTCCAAATTTTCAATAATTTGCTTCTTTTTATATCTTAGAAAAACGGTTAATTACATTCCCCCTTACAAGAGGTACAGTTTACATTTTACAACACTATAGTTGGGTCTTATTTCTCTTTCAAATTTTTTAGTTACTCCTCTCATTCCAGTTTCTCATTACATCTTAGAAAGATGATCTGTCATCAGCCCTCTGATCCTCATTTTCCATGCTAGCTTCCTTAGAGATCTAAACTACTTGTTATGGACACAACTATAATTTCTGTAAGGATGACTCCTAAGTCTTAACTATTCTCAAACTCCAGAACCATATCTCTAATTAGTTGCTGGGCATCTTATATTAGCTGTCCAGTTATCATATCAATCTTAGTATGCCAATATGAGTCAATAGTTTGATGTAATAATAACAACAATATTACTAACATTTACATAGTGCTTTGAGATTTGCAAAATGCTTTACAAACACTGTCTTGTTTTATTCTCATGACAACCCTGTGAGGTAGGTGCTTTGCCTCCATTTTACAGCTACAGAAACTAAACAGACAGGTTAAGTGACTTGTACAGAGTCACACAGCTAAGTATCCCAGGCTGAATTGATGCCCAGGTCTTCCTTACTTCAAGTCCAGCACTTTATAACTTAGCTGTCTGCATAACAGCCTAGAATACTCATGCCATTTGGCGGTAAATTAAGAGTAGCATAGTATCAAACAATAAGGAGGTCATAGCCCCATTGTTCTCTGTTCTGGTCAAACATAACATCTGTTCAGTTCTGGGTACTACATTTTAACAAGGACATTGATTGTATTTACTAGGCACTGTGGATACAGAGAAAAAGAAAAAAGTAGTTCCTGACCCCAAGGAACATGTTGTAATGATAGAGACAACATATACCTAAATCTGCACATAACAAGATTTATGCAGAATAGATGAAAGGTTGCCTTAAAAGGGAAGGGACTTTAGAAACTAGGGAGACAGAGAAAGGCTCTCTACAAGACATGGGGTAGACTAGAAATTAAACACTTACCTTTAAATTCATAGGCATTTCTACCTTCAATCCACCCTAAGGATAAAAAGAAAATTTAAAATTAAATATATACATACATGTATATAAACATTAAGTTTATTTGAAGGAACTATCTGTGATTCAGAAATGGTATGAGAATCTGAAATTAATAAACTGCTTGTGGTACTTTTAGTTACAAATTGAGTAAAAAGTTGTTAACATCCCTGAAGCACTTATATTGAATTATACCTGCAAGTCAAAGGCTCATATAAGTCTTGGTGGCTCTCACTATCAAAGAGAGAAGGGCTTAGAATACCATATTTCAAAAGACAAAAGATAAAGTTTTACAATCCAGAATAGCCTATTTGGGAAAACTGAACATAAATCTACATAGAAAAAAATGGACATCATAATGAAATAACACACTTCTAAGGAATCTTGATGGAAAGACCAGAGCTGAATAGAAATTCTGAAATTCAAGGAGAAGAGTCAAAAGAAACACTAAAAGGTAAATAGACTTTATCAACTGAAAGAGAATATACAACAAAAAGGACACCTAAGTGGCACCGTGGATAGAGGGCACCGGGTCTGCAGAAGACTCACCTTCCTAAGTTTAAATCTGGCCTCAGACATTCACTAGCTGATCTCCTTAGGAGCGCTTGCTTTCTGTGAGTTCTCTGTAAAATAGTCTTTTAGGCAAATTTCTATAATAAAGGCCTCAATTCTCAAATATATAGAGAACTGAGTCAAATTTATAGAAATAAAAGCCATTCTTCAACTGATAAAAGGTCAAAGGATATGAACAGGGAGTTTTCAGACAATGTAATCTATCTATACTTATGTGAAAAAAAATGCTCGAAATAACCACTGATTAGAGAAATGCAAATTAAAATGACTGTGAGTTACCACCCCATACCTATCAGATTGGCTAATATGACAGAAAAGGAAAATGACAAATGTTGGAGGACATGTAGGAAAATTGAGAGTGGAGTGGTATACTGATTCCATCATTCTGTAGAGTAATTTCAAACTATACTCAAAGGACTACAAAACTGTGCTACCCTTTGATTCAGAAACTAAGTTGTTGAAGTGTGGTGGGTCATTGTGTTGAACAGTTACTGTCTTTCACAGATGATCATCATTACAATATTGCTGTTACTGTGTACAATATTCTCCTGGTTCTGCTTCATTTTGCTTCTGTTTGGTTTGCTGAAACTATTCCCGTCATCATTTCTTAGAGTATCCTATCACATTCATGTACCATAACTTGTTTAGCCATTCCCCATTTGATGGGCAACCCTTTATTTTCCAATTCTTTACCACCACAAAACGGCTACTATAGTATTTTTATACATATGGATCCTTTTCCTTTTTCAATCAATCAATAAACAACTATTAAACACCTACTATATGCCAGGCACTGTGCTAAGCACTTTTTAAAAATCTCTTTGGTATATATATCTAGTAGTGGTATTGCTGGATCAAGGCATAGGCACAGTTGTATAGCTTTTTGGGCACAGTTCCAAACAGTTTCCCAAAATGGTGGAACTAGTTCACAGCTCTACCAACAATGCTTTAGTGCACCTATTTTCCCACATACCCTCCAGCATTTGTCATTTTTTGTCATCTTAGCCAATGTGATAGGTATGAGGTGGTGCCTCAGAGCTGTTTCAATTTGCATTTCTTTAATTATTAGTGAGTTAGAGAATTTTCATGTGACTATTGATAGCTTTGATTTCTTCCTCTGAAAATTACCTGTTAATATCCTTTGATTATTTATCAACTGGGAATGGATTTTATTCTTATAAATCTGGCTCAATTCTCCAGTCTAGAAATGAGAACTTTATTAGAGAAATTTGCTGCAAAGATTATTTTTCTGCTTTTGGTCTAATTTTAGCTGCACTGGCTTATTTTATGCAAAACTTTTTAATTTTATGCAATAAAAATAATCCATTTTGTTTCTTGTGAACCTCTCTGTCTTTTGTTTGGCATAGCCTGAATGTTATTCTCATCAGTACTGGCTCAAAGAAGGAATAATATACACAATCAGATGAATATAGAAATTGATCTTATCTGACAGGGAAGTAGGAGGGGAAGAGACTAAATAAAAGTTGGGTGGGGACTGACAGAGGGGAGGGTGTATCAGGGGAAGTGGTAAACAGAAGCAAAATATTGGTGATATGAGAAAGGGTGAATGGAAAGAGAGGACAAACAGAAGGAAGAATAGGATGGAGGGAAATGCACAGATTGAAATCATAATGGTGAATGTGAATGGGATGAACTCTCCCATAAAATGGAAGCAGATAGCAGAGTGGATCAAAAATCCAGTATCCTATAATATGTTGCTTACAAGAAACATGCAGGAGACACACACAGAGTAAAGGAAAAACTGGAAAGACTTTTACAAACTGATGCAAAATGAAATGAGCAGAACCAGGAAAACACTTTACACAGTATTAGCAACATCATGTGATGATCAAATATGAATGATTCAGCTTCTCTCAGCAACACAATGATCCAAGACAAGTACAAAGGACTCACGAAGGAAAATGCTATCCACATCCAGAAAAAGAACTGATGGACTCTGAATGCAGACTGAAGCATATCTTTTTCACTTACTTTATTCTCTTCGTGTTTTTTGTTTTTTTACTTTTGATCTTTTTCTTCCACAATTGTGATGAATATGGATATATGTTTTACATAATGGCATATGTATAAACTATATCAAAGTGTCTACCAATTTTAGAAGAAGGGAGGGGAAGGAAGGAGGGAGAAAAATTTGGAACTCAAAATCTTATAAAAATGAATGCTAAAAATTTTCTTGATTTGTAATTGTGGGAAAAAATAAAATACTATTTAAAACAGAAAAAAGTCTGCTGTGTGAAAGATACTACATAATTATCTTACACTATCATATAATATACATATTAGGTGGGTACTTAAACATGCAAATTATTAATATTAATATTTTAGTCATTTGTATATTGTGCATATTTAGTTTTGAAACTACAGAAGAATCAAGGAAGAATATAAGCTATTGACTTCTATTTGATCTGAGAAGAGGAAAAGGGATGTTGGAGCCATAGATTCTCTTTGAGAAAATGAAGCATTATTTAAATCTGCTCACCATTTGAAGTGGATACAGTGATTTCATTTCAGATGATGAAATCTCAAATAGTCCATGGCCTTCTTCCAGAACTGTCTCTTGTCCCTTAAAATTAACATCTGGGAAGGCAAGCCAACTAAAAGAGAAGACAAAATACTTAGTTCTGGTACTGCTAAGCCCCCTTCCTTCATATTTTTTTTCACTGGCTCTGTTGATATTCTAATGACCTTTAGTTCCCATAAATGAATTTTGTTATTGTTTTTTTTGCTAGCTTATTAAAGTAGTTCTCTGGCAGTCCAACTGGTATGACACTAAATAAGTAAATTAATTTAGGGGTGTGCTGGGACCCAGCTTGAACTGTCTCTCAAGAATCAATTGTTAAATTCCCAGTGTAAGCATTTATACCTCAGAGTTTTTAATCCTAGTCCTGTAAAAGTTATCAATTAATTAATAAAAAGTATTTATTAAAAACCTATAACATAGGGGCAAAAGGAATGTAACTAAACAATATAATTACACTAAATAAATCAACGTTGACATAGCTATCTAACACCTTCACTGGGTTTGTCATTAACTTGCCAGCTATTACACATAATTTCCTGGTGTATGCTGCATTAGCCTGATCAGTGCTCAGGTTTGAATTATAGTGCTAGGAATGACTGCATTAGAGAACTTACCACATCATACACAAGATGAATTGAAAATCAGTCATATTAGCCCTGGAATGACAGCCTCTATTCAGCACAGCCATCCCAACGCCTCAGTTTTTTATACTGAGACATACTGCAGGCCCCACTGATATCAAATGTGCCTGACTACAAGCCCACCTTTCTCACAGACTCACTGAATACAGATATGTCCACGTTAGAAATATCAGCTAGTTCTGATCATTTCTTGCAATGCTGACTAGTTAGTTCCACTTGAACCCAGGCTAACTCTCTAAAAGGCCCAGGTTTGATATATACAAAGAACTCTAGAATAATGGTGACTGATAGATTCCTTGCTCCTTTACTTCTGATGAATACATATATAAAAAAGAATTGCTATAACATTAATAGATTCATCAACATACATCATCTGAAATGGGAATTGGCTAAAGACAGATACCAATAAAACTGCTCCCAATCTAAGTACATAGTAGTGCCACTCTCCTGAATAAAATTGCTTCTGAATCCACTCTTACTTGGACTGGATAGTGGACAACAAAGCTTCTAATTAACACCTATTTTCACCAACGTGCCTCAGTATGGGTCTGGGGTTGCCCCAATATGAATTCTTTCTCCCTGGTGCTCACCCTCTTCCTAGGTGCTGGAGTTCTATATCTAAGAAGCATGCTTCTGGCCCAGCTCTGTCTTCCATTTCCAACAACCTCACTGACTGTCTCCCTATACCAAGCTAGGCTGAACAAAGAACTCACTATGACTTTTTCCCTGGATTTCCCATCAGGAAATATTGATATGTATTTTTAGCTCTGAATGAGTTTGTGTTGAGAGCCCAACACACTGCTTCCTAGAACTCCGCCATCTTGGCTCTCTGCCTCAAGTGCGATATTTGAAATAGTATCAACCCTAAATTCTGTTCCAGTTCTATTAAAACCCAGTAATGTAAAGGAATCTGGTAGATTGGACCACTTTTTTTAGCTTCCCTAAAAGTTTTGAGCTCTATGTGAGGAAGCCCTAGTTTGAACCAGAAACTCCTCATTTCTAACTAGAAAAGTTAAGTCCATAGGAAGAGATCTTGAGTCAACTATTCTCACAACTATTCCAAGTTGTGAACTACAACACTGAGCAGCTTTAGGAGACTAAGAACTGGTACAGGGTCTAAAGGTATGGAATGATGACACCTTTACTGCCACAAGTCATGAACTCAATGGATTTGACTCAATTAGATTCAAATATTCTTTAAGTGAATAAAATATATAAAAGAACGGACATGCCTCTGACTATAAGGATCTTAAAATATAGTAGGGAAGAGGGCAGCTAGGTGGCATAGTGGACAAAGCACCAGCCCAGGAGTCAGAAGACCTAAGTTCAAATCCTGCCTCAGACACTTGACACTTACTAGCTGTGTGACCCTGGGCAAGTCACTTAACCCCACATGCCTTACCAAAAAGAAAAAAAATGTATTTATATATATGGGAAGACAATAGATTTTTATATATAACATAAAATTAAAAGAGTTTAAATGAAAACGAACATATCAAAATCATAGGCTCTAGGAGGTGTAACAGACCCCGGAAGTTATCTAGTCTAACTGTTTCATGAAAAATTATTTCCTCTACAAGATTCTCTATATGGAATTATGGAGCCTTTCTTTAAAGAATTCTAGTAAACAACCACTACTTCCCAAGAAAGTTTACTTTATTTTTGGATCACTCTGATTGTTGATAAGTTTTTCTTTACATTAACACTGTACACACTCTGGAACCAAGGAGAGCAAGTCTTATCTTGCTCTTTCTTATACAGCCCATCAAATATTTGAAAACAGATACTTGTTTCCCTCCTCTCTCTCTCTCCACCCCTTTTCTGGGCTTCCATATCTCACTTTTAAATCATTCTGGTCCTAAAGTCCATTAAAATCCCAAGATCTTTCCAAATGAATTGGGGTCTTGTCTGTCTACACCTTCATCACTTTGTACTTCTGAAAGTGATTTTTTAAAAATGCAGGCTTAACTTTATATTTATTCTTCTTAAATTTATCTGTTCAAATTCAGCCTAATTTTCTGAACTGCACTGTATTAGCTATCCTTTCCTGCCTTATGTCTTAAGTGATCCATGAATTTGACAAATGCCTTTATCTGAATCATTAATAAACAGTAGTATGTAAAGGAAAAATCCCTAAAGGCATGTCCCCGGAGACTTCCTTCCAAGATAACAAACTATTACTGAATGTCACTGAAACTGTTTTCAGGTCAATTTTCACTTGCTGCCAATACACTTAAATTTAATGTCTAGGAAAACTATACATCCTTCCCTGATCTCTTGTCTTGTTAATTTGTTAACATTTCTATTTCAAATAGCAGTGAGGAAAGAGTGCATTCCTTGCTTTACTCCTTTACTTATTGGGAAAACTTCTAGTCTTTGACCTGGATGTACCATTTAATAGCTATGTGTCTATAAACAAACATTTCACCTCTTCAAGCCTCAATTTATTAGTAAAATGAAGGTTTTTTAAAAAATTGTATTGTGAAGAATATACTTTGCAAATTGCAAAATGCTATATAAAGTAGTTACTACTACTACTACTACTACTACTACTACTACTACTACTACTACTACCACTACTACTACTATTACCACCACTTCTCTTTAATAGACTATGTCCTACTCCAAAAGACTCAGGATGGAAAAAGCTATCCACATCCAGAAAAAGAACTATGGAGCCTGAATGCAGATCAAAGCATATTACTTGTTCTTTCTCTCTCTCTCTCTTTTTTTGTTTCTTCTTCCTCACTGTTCCTCCCATTGGCTGTAATTCTTCTTTACAATGTGATTAATACGAAAATAGGTTTAATATGAAAGTATATGTAGAGCCTATATCAAATTGCACACTATCTTGGGATGTGTTGGGGAGGAGAGATGGAGAGAAAATTTGGAATGTAAAATCTTATGGAAGTGTATGTTGAAAACTAAAAATAAACAAATATGTTAAAAAAAAGACTATGTCCTGTAAGTTACATTTCTATAATTATGGGTGATAAACACCAAGACAGTGAACAAAGTCACTAAAAGGCTAAGTTTACCTGTTGAAATAAGACTCACTCAACTAGCCAGGTAAGTGGATTGAAAAAACTGGCTATATCGCAGACAAGTCTATGTAACTTCTTGCTTACTTAAGGCTGGATTTTTATCTCTCTCTTATTCCCAAAGTTACCATTATGAAGGTACATGAATACTTACACTCCTGCCTTCACAGCAAGTGACACTGATCTTGGTAAATTAAGTTCTTCTAAGTTGGCAACTGATATTTGTATATAGACAGGGCAACATGCTGCATCGGACTGTGGGCAAAGTTCTATTTCTGGAACACTGCAGTCCTGAAAAAAAAGATAACTGATTTATGAAAGTTATCTAGAGTTGTTCAGTACACCACCAAACCATAGAAGCATACTAACTACGTATGTGTATGTGTATATATATATATATGTGTGTGTGTGTGTGTGTGTGTGTATCTTTTCAGTATCATTAGCCATCTTGTATAACCAATCACATATTCAGAATAGCTATGTTACAAAATAGAGCTTATTCAATATAAATTTTGGTGAAATTCAGGAATATTCAGTCACTGGATTATCTGAATGCCAACTAACTTTAGGTGGGCTGGTTTTCCTAAGCAGCAGTAGTATAAGGCAAGAAGTAATTAAAATTAACCTCGTGGAGGCAATTCTATGTTAGAATGCTCCAAAATGTATTAATTATAGGTGAGAGAAAAGCAAATTTGTTTGAATATACATTACTTTATTTGGTAGGAACTATGGATTTGGGGCAGTACCTTGATTTAGCTAGATTTTTTCATTCTTTAATAATAAATGGAAAACTTTTTTAGAAAGTGCTATTTTGTCCTCTATTCAAAATTTAGATGGTTTTGTTCCCCCAAAATTATCATATTTTTATTCCCCAACTATTTTACTCTCATTTATATGTTCTATCATTCAGTAATTCTTTTGTTTCTTCCTTCAAAACACTACTGCTCTCTTTCCATCCATACTATCACTACTGTCAATATCTCATGCTTAGATTCCTGGAGAAGCTTCAGCCCTTGGCTTTTTCCCACTCAAATGCATCTTACATACCACTACAAATTTAAACTTCACAGAATAGTTTCCATATTGTCACTTCTCTGCTCAAAATTCCTGCTAACAGCTTCTTATCATCTATCATGCTGAAATATAAATTCCTTTGCTAAGCTACCAAGGCCCTCCATGCAATTTGGTTTCAAAGCTAACCATCCAGACTTACTTTCCAATTTTCCTCCAATTTATTGGGCTCCTTTTGGTTCCCTTAACATACCATATTCCAAGGATCTCAAAGTGTGGTCTGAGAACCTTTCAAGAGGTCCATGAGATCAAAACTATTTTCATAATAATATTAAGATGTTTTCATTTCCAATATAGTAAATATCAACAGATAAAACCCACACAAACAAAAGCTCTTAGGGAGGCTTCTCAATAACTTTTTTATAGAGTAGAAAGGGAGCCTAAAACCAAAAAATTTTTCATTTCTACCTCCAAACATTTGTTCATTTTACACCACACACACACACACACACACACGTATGTATATCACACCCCTCCATGACTTTCCCTGCCCTCAGTGATCTTTCTCATTTCTTTGATCTTTTATAGCATTTTTATTTTGTCCCATACCATATAGCATTTAATTACATATTATTTTGTTCTATTTCCTTTGTATTAGTCTTGTCTAACCAATTAGAATATAATATACTTGAGGCTATAGGGAATATGTCATACTTTTTTGTATTACATAAAACAGTTCTAGCATAGAACTAGAAATGGAGAATTTATTCAATAAATATAGTCTAAATGATTATACAACTAATCATTCAGCAGCATAATTCTGACCTATGAAGTTTCAAAAACAGCTGACAGCAGTAAGTTTTATAAGGACACTTACTGGAAAGCAAATAATAAGTTTTTATTGGGTTACATCAACAAAAAGTTTTGAGTTTCACTTCACTTCACAGTTCCCTGAACTTTCTCATGCTTCTCCCAAATGTTTTATTTTTTTTTAATCATAATCTCTAGAAAATAGTTTCTCAGTGGTCTCTAATGCCCCTTCCATCTCAAAATCTATGATCCTATGATCCTGTGGAGAACAGAAACCCAAGCAAAGTTAAATTTCCATTTTTCCCTCCTGAAAGCTGTTTGTTAAATTACAATATATTAACAATGCCCAACCTACAAAAGTATTCTTTAAATTATAAAGAGTATTTCCTTCCCTTGGAAGGCTCTAATCTAATTCAGTTCATACAACAAACAAAAATAAACTATATCTCCACCTGTTGCTATAGAAGTTTCTTTTGTTAGTTATTCATATCACAACAGACAGCTAGTAATACTATTGAAAACACAGCTACTTTAATATCTCCCCAGAGGTCAGTGATACAGTAACTAAGTTTCCTTTGTATTATACTATTCCAACAGTGTTTGTTCATGTTCTTTTTGGAGAGGGGGCTCATCTGAACTGCATAAAGCAAAACAGCATAATGCAAAAAGAGTGAGGGGTTGTCAGGATTAAAATGAATAGAACCCATAAAAACAGTTAATCGTTCACATCAATTTTGTTCTTAGCCACTTTTTCTAAAAGCTTAATCTACCGATCTTTTATCTCACTTTACTGCTAAATAAGAAAAGGCTTACTTTGCTTTATAATCGTTATGTGATTCTATTTATACACAGAGGGTAACGGCGAGGAAGCTTTCCCCCCCCTTTTTAAGCTTTCTACTAATACTATTAGGAGAAGAGAATAAGTATTTACATAGTGTCTAATATATTCCAGGCACTATCTCATTTGATCGTCACAACAACCCTGAGAGGTGGTGCTAAGTCTAATGACATTAATCCACCATGGATAGGACCTTTGTATTTTTTCAGCAGTGGTGGTGAACTTATGCTGATGCATCCTTACACCCTCCTTCCACAATTGCCTTGTGACCAATAGAACTTTTTTCTTTTTTTACTATAACAGTGTAGATAGTGCTAATTCAACATAAAAATATAAGCAGCCTGAGGACTGAATCCTGTGAAACAAAACCACTTCAGTACTAAATCAGAAAATTTCAGGGTCTGAAAGGATCTTTCAAACTTTATAGGTCAACCCAAAACTAACCTAGAGGTATCTCTACAACACTATCCACAAGTCATCAGATAATCTACTAGAAGACCAATGAGGAGGAATCCCACGCTCCCTTACAAATGTAGGCCACATTTTGATAGCCCTAATTGTTAGTAAGTTTTCCTTACATCAAACCTCAATCTTTTGCTTTGCAACTTCTATTAACTGTATTGGCCTCTGGGGACAAGTACAAGTCTAATTCCGCCTCCCACATAAAAGCCCTTCAAATAAACACCTGAAGACAATTATCATGTCCTCCAAGTCTTCTTTTCTTTACCCAACATGCCCAGTTCTTTCAATTTATCCTTATATGTTATGATCTCCAATTCTCTTCTTAAAACTGTTTGTCCCCTTCTGGCTATAATCCAAATATTAACTTGGTTACTAAAATGTGGTACCCAAAATTTAACACAATATTCCAAATGAAAATTAACATAGAATGCAAGTTCTGTCTTCTGGAAGCTATCACCTCCTTCATTTGGGATGCAGTATGGTGGATGAAGTACTGGATTCAGGGCCAGAAAGACAAGTTGTATGACCCTGGGCAAGTCAATTAATTTCCTCCTTATCTGTAAATGAAGAAGTGGAAGTCAATCTCTTTCAACTCTAAATCTATGTTCCCATGGCGTTATACCACTAAATAAAGTCTAGAATAGAATTAGCTATTTTTGGTTAACTGATATTGAATTTACTGATAACTGATATTGAATTTACAGGTCATTAAAATCTCCAAGGGCAGCTAGGTGGCACAATGGCTAGAGCACTGGCCCTGAAGTCAGGAGGACCTGAGTTCAAATCCAGCCTCAGATCAAACACATGGCACTAGCTGTGTGACCCTGGGCAAGTCACTTAACCCCAAATGCCTTAAAAAAATTCTCCAGATCTTTTTCAAACTGTTATCTAGCCATGCCTCCTCTTATCCGGGAACTTGATTTTTTTTTTCACAAATATAGAATTTTACAGGGTAGCTGGGTGGCTCAGTGACTAGAGTGCTGATCTGGGAGTCAAGAAGATTCAATCTTCCTAAGTTAAAATCTGGCTCAGACACATACTAGCTATATAACCCTGGGCAAGTCACTTAACCCTGTTTGCCTCAGTTTCCTTGTCTCGAGAAGGAAATGGCAAACCACTCCAGTATCTTTGCCAAGAAAACCCCAAATGGGATCACAAAGAGTCAGACACAACTGAAACAACTAAACAACAGCAAAGAACTTTTACCTTTATCTCTAATACAGTTTTATCTATTTAGATCTGGTCCATTGTTTTAGTTCATAATCTTTGGATCCTGACTCAAATGACATGTTAGATATTACCCCCAGATCTATGTCATATGCAATTCTAACCATCATGCCTTTTATGCTTTAATCCAAGATGCTGATAAAATTATGCACTGCAGCTATCTTGAAATAACTCTCTACAATCATTTTTTTAAAACAAGACCAGAATTGGAGACACTGCTAAATAGTGCTAGGATAATGCATTTTGTCACTCTTACACTTCTCCTGTAGATTCAATTATCATCTCTATGCTGATGATCCTCAAATCTACTTATCTATTCTTAACCTCTCTGCTCCAACTTCCTACTAGAAATTTCAAAGCAGATATCCAATAGACATCATAAATCCAACATGTCCAAAACTGATCTCATTATTTTCCCCCTTTCCTAATTTCCCTATTACTGCTGAAGGTACCACCATCCTCCCATCCAGCTCACAACCTAGAAGTCATTCTTGACTCCTCACTCTCTCATTCCACATGCAATAAGTTGTTAAGTCCTGTCTTTTCCATCTTTGTAACACTTCCTATACACTCCCTCCCCCCACCCTTCTCTCCTCTGATACTAATGTCATCACCCTGGTGTTGACCCTCATCACCTCAAGCTTGGACTATTACAATAGCCTGTTGTTGTCCCAGCCACAAGTCTCTCCCCACTCCACCCCCATCCTCTATTTAATTATCAATGATATTTTAAAAGAACAGGTTTGACCATTTCACCCTTTCCCTAAATAAATTCTAAGGGTTCCCTACCAGCAAAGGTATCAAACCACACAGTCAACAACACTCCCCAGTTAAACCCAAACCAGATTAAAATGTAATTGGCAAATATTTAACAAATAATAAAAATATAACAAACAGATAATATTTCAAAACTGAGTCAACACACAGCTGGCAGAAATCCTTAGGTACTAATTAATGATTCTCTTGTCTATTTAAGTTTGACCCCACTGACCTCCAGGATAAAATAAGAAATCCCTGGCACTGAAATCCCTTCACTCTGGCCCACTTCCAATCTTCCTATACCTTACTTCTCTCAAATACTCTGTGATTGGTTAACAATTGGTTCCTTAATGTTCCTTGCACAGTGACACTCCATCTTCTCACTCCAGGCATTTTCAATGGCTGTCTTTCATGTCTGGAATTTTCTTTCTCATTACTGTCTCCTGTGTTCCTGGCTTCTTTCAATTCCCACCTAAAATCCCACTTCCAGAACATCCCCATTTAATTCTACTTCCTTCCCTTTGATTATCTCCACTTTATCCCATATATAGCTTGTCTGTACACAATTGTTTGCATGTTGCCCACCATCAGCCTATGAACTCCTTGATGAGGAGCTGTCTTTTTCTTTCTTTGTATCTCAAGTGCTCAGGAAAATGCTTTGCCTTTAGTATGTGTTTAATAAATGTTTACTGACTGACATTTTTGGGGAAACAAAGCCTAACCTGCAAAGTGAAAGTCCAGTTTTGAAGGTATTAAGTAGTAACTATTAAGAACAAAGGACTATGACTAGAAGAAAAAAAAATAAGTGAAATGCAGATAATCAGATAGGAAAAAAAGGAAAAACAAAACATGCAAGATGAAAAAATTAGAGTAAGAATGGGTATCATGGGAAATGCCAGTCAAGAAATATTGAATTCATTGTAACTGCTTCAAAGGATATATCTGTCTACCTCAAAAGTAATATGACGTGGCTGTGAGGTTTTGGGACATTCCCATATCTTCTCCCTAAATAACTGATAACAGTATTTTTGAACCATTCTACAATAATGAGGTGGGACAAAAATAATGTGTATGATAAATCTGAAGGTTTGTATGTATACATAAACATGTGTATGTATATACATATATGTACATACATATGCATACACATATATAAGGGATACAATTTTTTATACTTTGTGTTTTGTTTTTCCCTTTTTTCCTACCTGATTATCTTCATTTCAGTTATCATATGTTTTTTTTCTTCCAGTCAAGCCTTTTAGACATGTTTATTTTTTTTAAGAAAAGCTCAGATTTGTCTCAATGTCCCTAAATATAATATTCCTTTCACATAAAAGAAAAAAAATCAAACGATGGAAAACCCCCACAAATAATTCTATTGTAGAGACACTACTCACCCACTGAAGCATACTATGGGTAATTTTTAGTGTTTTCCAAATAGATAACAAAAAATCCCTATTTTTCCTTTTCTCTGAATAATTTACAATACATTTAAAAATGCAACATCAAAAGCCACCTCTTCAAGCACAAATGATTAAAGGAAAAAAACTAAACTAGCAATTAGATTAGCACCATTAGTATCAAGTATTAACATTTTTTAAAAATGCAAGTATGCTATAACTAGACCCCCTCCAAAACACTGAAGATAAAAAAACAAAAGCACTTTTGATACCTTTAATAGTCTCTTGATAGAGCCAATCACAAAGTTTCTTGTTTGGTGCTTTTTACTCCGAAAAATCCAGTCTCGATAGAGCACTTTTTCTCCTTCTTCTAAAACACATTTATGACCTTGGAAATGTGGTTTTTCATATAAAATCCAGCTAAAGTAACAGCAACAAAAATCAAGGTACAGATAATTTGTTTTAAGATATTAGATAGAGACATAAGGATATTATTATAAGTCATAGTATGTCTGATTTCCTTAAATGTTTATTGGGTTTACCTTTATCTGTGACAAGTATAAAATCCTGCTTCTAACAAGGATATATTTTAAAATCTTTACCCAATGAGACTGTTCTAAGAAAAAAAAAAGAATGGAAACACAGGGAATTTGGAAAGGAAAAAGTTTTTTGCCAAGTCTGTGACATAAACATGTATTCGAGCATATGTATATTTACACACACAAACATATACATGTATGCACATTCATTCTGAGGGCACACAAAACCACAACCCAACTTTAACAGCTGATATGTATTACATATGATAAAGCCAATGATAAATTTTGATTTTTTTCAATGACAAGGCAGACACATTATTAAAGTGCAATATTATCAATACTAATAAGACAGACTAAAAATTTTCTGTGACATTCTTGGCTTCTACTAGTTTTAGTAAATCCATGTGAAAATTTTCATTCCATAGTAATAACTGACCAAAAGAAAAAAGAAAAAAAAACGAGGCTTTCTATTACCCTTCCACTTCACAAAGCTTAACCATCAAGGGACATTTGAGCTACACAAACTACATTGAGCAATTTTTTGGCCTCCCCATTTCTGAACATCTCACTATTTTTGCAGGCATTTTCAAGAGTGTGTTGAAATGGCCAAGGTGATACATTAGAATTTTACTTGGTTAATGAAATAATACCATGAAAACATAACCAGAAGAACTGGTTATGATACTCTACTGATTGACATATTGGATTGGCGTATAAATGTGACTTAAGAGTAAAGAAGACCTACATTCAAACATCAACTAGCAGTGTAAGCATGGATACGTCACCTCATTTCTATAAATAACAAGTTCCTAATCTGTAAAATGGGAGAAATAACAGCACCATCTCACAAGTTGTTCTCAGGATCAAATGAGATAATAATGCATGTAAAGGAATGTGTAAACTTTAAAGAATAACTACATGCATGTAAGTTCTTATATATAGATGGCAGCATGGCTTTATCAAGGTAGCTGAATTAGTTTACCTTTTACACCAAAAAGAAAAGGAAAAGAATATCCACCCCATCATAGAAGCCTAATTAAAATGTTTTCTTGTATCAAAGAAATTGTGAGAAAGGGGATATGCCTGTATAGATAGAAAACAGATGTAAGGAAAAATGTACGCAACTTCAGAAAACAGACTTTAAAAAATTCAGATGAGAATTACTTACCATCCTCTTACAACTCTGATGAATGCTCCATTTGGAAAAGTCCATGATGTAGCATCAAGAACGCTATTGTAAATCTCTTGTTTATATTTGCTTCCATGAAGGTCATAGATGACCATCTGAAAATATATAATGACTAATCTAAAAAATGCATTTGACTTTCAGAAAAAAATAAAATATGTGCTAAAAATTGTTTCTAAACACACAAAAACAATTAACTAGTGTAGATACCAACCTATGGCAAAATAAAAACTTTATATTCTAAGTCATTTAAAATACAATTTAAAAGTGCTTTTTTCCTGTCCCCAAAGAATACCTCTTCTTCCTCTCTCCCTTCACATGGATCTACAGAAAACAATTATCTTTACCTTTCCAGGTCTAGGGTTACTTCTCAGGCTTTGCTTATCAATGGGATTCTGAAATTATAAAAACAGAAAAAATCAGTATCCAAGGAAGAGCTAATTAGATAACATAATTTTCAAGTTCTGAACTTAAAAAACTGTTTTACATTACATTTTTTGGCTGATTTTAAAGCATTATTCTTCACAATGTCTGACCAACACAGGAAAACAGAAATAAAGACTGTGGCAATCCTAATAAAAGTTGCAGCATCTCAAATACTGTAAAAACAAAAGAAAACAAAAGCCCTACACAGAACAGTTTATCCAAAGAAGCAATGAGTATATTTAAATGAAGGAGAAGAGTGCATTCATAAAATATTTTTCTAACTGAAAAGCAGGAGTTCCAAACCCACTTTCAGCTATATTTCTTTTAACTGTCCTACGCTTCTTTCTACCCTGCTTTGTATAACATAAACTTTCCATGTGAGTAAGTGGGTGTAAAAAGGTAGGCAGTTATTTATGAGTAAAAAATAAGATTTCTCCCCAGTCATCTGTTTCTTGTCTGAATTATCAGAACTGTCTTAATGTTTTATGCATTATCTGCATGCATAAGCAGTCATATATTTTACTGTGTTCTTTGTTTAAACTCCAGGAATGAAAACAGTGGTAGGAAAAAAAAAAGCTACTGATAAAAAAAAGCTAACAGGAAACTAATTCATGTTTACTCTTTATTCTTAATTTGAATATGTATTTTTATGCGAGGAAAAAATAGAACAGAATAAAAACACTAATTCTTTTATGACCTAGGAGATGTTCAGAGTTTGAGGTCCTCATAAGCAAACATTTTAAAATACTACTGTATACATATATGTTTTCAGGACACAAACATAAATAAGTATAGATATATGCAACAAAAAGTAGCAACTTTCCAGATGCTATGTCTTGAAAACGTCAAAATATCTCAATTAAAGTGGTTTAAAATTAAATATCAGCAAAGAAGTATACAAATAAACTGCTTCTTAGTATTTCAGCATCAGTATTAATTAACTGGGGGATTCTCTTTGTTTAATATAATAATAATGCAACCAAAATTCCACGAAGATAAATAAATGTACAGTTTAAGAGATCACTATCTCTAAGGCTACTTTTTAAAAAAAAAATGCAAACCTTTATTACTGCTGAGAAATCCAAGTAAGGAAACTCTCTTCCAATGCAGAACAGCAAATTATAATTTTAGAGAGTTCCTAAGGCTCAGAGAAGTTAGATGACTTGTACAGTCACACAGCAAGTGTGTGTCAGAAGAAGAAATTGAACACAAGTCTTTCTAATACCCAGGTCTAGTCTATTCACTATATTATGTTGCCTCTCCTAATGCTACTTTAAAATAACAAAAAAATCCATTGAATACAGCTCATCAGAGTACTTATCAAATATTTGAATATGGTCCCTTAGATTGTATCACTATCAAAAACTATCATTTATCACACATATTTTTCAATTAAATATTCAAGTAAAATAACTTACCTCTGGACAAGCACTTAATTTGGAGACTGGTTCCTGAAGATTACCTCCAAACTTGGATCCTTTCTCAGGCAATAAGGTTTTAGTAGTTTGTAAATACTGATTATAGACACTCTTGAAAGATGAATGTAATTTAGAACTGAGGTCAGACTTTTGAAGAAAAGGACCTGGTGCATGGTAAAGTAAGGACCTGTCTTGCCACAGGACAGCTGGCTGATTAAAGGTAGTAGGTTCATTTGAAAGAAAAAGTGGCATTTTGGAAGATCTAGTTCCTTCTTGGTCCTCTCCTTGATAAACTATAGTTGAACAATCTGTAAGTTGAAAAGTAACATGTTCTCTCTTTCCAGTTTTTAGAATAATCTCTTTATGTCGTGGTCCCTCCTCATCCTCATCCACTACTTCTTCCTCTGTCTCAAGCTTTTCTCCATCATCAAAATTCATCCTTAAACGCTCTGACACTGATTGAAGAAGGGACAACACAGAGGAGGGTTGACTAGCACCATCTCTTGATTTTGCACTAGATCCACGGTGACCTGGTGAGACTTCATTGGATAGGATATCTTCCTGAGAGCTGTCATCTTCATAAATAGGAGATAAGGCTAAGGGATAGACTTTGTATCTTTTTGCCTCTACTGATAAGAACGTTTCAGAACTGTCACTATCAAACATCTCACTGGATTTACTCTCCTTTTCAAAGTGATGAACAAGGTCAGTTCTACTTTCAGACCTTTCACATACCAGAACATGTGGAAGCCCACTGGTAGACTCGTCAGGAAACACCAAGGAATGTGCTCCTTCTTTGGCAGATAAATACTGACCCTCATCTTGAAGGGGTTCTTCATACAAAATGGTGAAGGAAGAGTTACCTTGCTCATCTTGTGGCATAAAAGCTAGACATGACTGTTCATTTGCAAAGTCATAATCTAGACCTCTTTCTTTCCCACACACTGCAGTCATACACATATTCTTTTCTGTCCTTAGTTTGGAATGTTCAGGTAAAAAATCTGGTGTCATAAAGCCAATGTTTCCTTCACAACCTTTACTCAATATAGGTAATTCATATCCCTCAAACTGTGACTTAGCTTTGTTGTCATATAGCACCACACTTTTCTTTGTTTCTATAGGTCTCGTTTCAGTTTTTCCAAAATTCTCTTCAGTATCCATTTGGTACACTTTTTCCACTTCAAACACGGCAGGTATCTCTTTACTTTCCCCAATATTCCCTTCAGCTGTCTTTTGATTCATGTTTGCTATTTCTAAGATAGTGGGTTTTGCTGAATCAGCTTGTGTAATATTCAACTCAATATCATCTCTGTGTGTTTTTTCCATTTTTAACTCGGCAGATATCATTGTAGGTTTTCCAACATTCCCTTCAATATCCTTTTCAAATGCCTTTTCCATTTCTATAATGACAGGTGTCATTTCACCAGTGTTCCTTTGAAATGGTTTTCCCATTTTGAAACTGTCAGGTGTACTTTCTAGTTTTGTAATATTTAATTCACTTCTTCCACATGATTTCCCCATTTCTAAAACCGAGGGCATCAACTCATTTTCTCCAGCATTTAATTTAGCATCCATTTTGTATGTTTTCCCCATTTCTAACATTGAGGGCATCAGCTCATTTTTTCCTACATTTAATTCAGTACTTTTCTCATATACCTTTCCCGTTTCTAACATGGGTGGTGCCATCTCAATTTTGCCTATATTAAATTCAGCATCTTTTCTGTATACTTTTCCCATCTCTAACCCAGCAATAGGCAGTGATTTATTACTGTGTCCTGGTAGGCATTTTTCATTAATACATACAAGACTATCAGAAAAGCTGTTTTTGGATGTGCTAGGTAAATGAGCATATACTTCATCATTAATGAAAGGGGGCCACTTGAAATTTAAGACAACTGCTCCAGTATCTTCTGTCTGAGTTTTGTGGTTAATCACACTCTCTATATGGGACGGTGCCTTTGCTTCACTTTCTTCCTTGTTACAGGTTAATGGCATACCTTTATAATCTAAATCTTCATGGGATATGTTCTCTGATAGTGAAACATCTAATTTTGGCAACTCTACACTAGCAGATTGTTCATCAAATCCATTTCCAGCATAAAAGGTTTTTTGGTAAGGCACTATTTTTCTTCCTTTAGTTGAATCAGTGTCATTATTTAAATTACTTTTAGCCAAAAGACTTTTTGATTCTTTATTTTCACTAAGTTTAGTTATACTTTGGGATTCTGACTGCTCTGAAGCCAAGAATCCTTTAGCTATATAATGTGGCTTAATGATATCATTGCTCAGAATCTTTGTGGCATGGGCCTTTTCAGTACTTCTGGTATGGTTCCTGGGCTTAGTTTTTCTGTAATGACCATCTATCAGTTTTTGTTGGGCACCATGAATAACCTCATTGACCAATTCCCTTGCTTTGATTATTAATAAATTAGACATATCCATTTTACCAATATCAACAGGGAGATTCCTCTCACCAACAGTAGTTAAAACACAGGCCTTTTCTTCTCTTTTGTCTTCTGACACATCTTTAACACTGTGCTCATGGTCTGGTAGCTGAATCAATGTCTTTTCTTTTTCTTCTGATGTTTTTTTCCCAGTGGCCTCTTCTTTCAGGGCAACTCCATGACAATCCTGGTAGTTAACTCCTATATGTGTGGACTTTATTTTTTGCCTGACAGAGTCCAAAATTATACCAACCAACTTCTCAGCCGTTTTAGCCAAATCAGTGTTGGAGTTCAGAGGTCTGTCATGTGCTCTTTTCCTTGTTCCTGTGTCCTCAGCTGATGCTTCAGAACACTGTTGGCTTGAGCTGTTAACTGACACTGTAACACTAGCAACTGTTTCAGCATCAGCTTCCACAGCATTTTTCAGCACAGCAGCAGTTACATAATTGGGACCTCCCTTTCCCATATGAATCTTAGGTACATCTTTGTCATGTCTATGACACAAGGTCATTCCTGCTCCTGTCTGGTTAGCTTTTTCAAATTCCCAATGGCTGCTATTAGTGGACATCATCATAACTAAGGAGGTATCTTCATGTGAAAGTTCCGTAGTAACTTTCAAAATTTCAAAATCATCTTTGGGTTTAGATGAATTAATTAACATGTTAGCTTCTTCAGGCTTACTGGTGGAATTGTCACCTAATAAATTATTTTTTTTGTAATGTCTCTGAAATGAAGCTGTTTCCTCTGCTCTCAGTGTAGAGGAAACTTCAAGAGAACTTTTGGCTTTTAATTCAGAAGTGATTTTTGCCACACTGATATCAGAACCGAGAAACTTTAAGGTGTCATCATCTTCTTGGGATTTAGGTAATGCATCAGAGGAGCTGAGCCCTATTCCAGATTTATCAGAAATTATTTTCGTGCCATCAATGTCTCTAGGTTCATAAGGACCAAAAGAAATTTTGTTCTCTTCATATGTCACTGACCCTGTGACTTTACTGTCATAGCCATGAAGTAAGTCCTCTGCTACACTACTCTCAAGAACACTCAGGGCTTCACTTTGAGATCTATAATTACTTTGTGATGTTGCCTTAAGGTGCTTGTCTTTAAACTCAGAGTCAGATGGAGAAATCTCAGCTTGGTAAATCTCTTTGGAATCAAAATCAGGAAGCACTAGATCAATCTCCTTAAGTGTTGTGGAATGAACAATTTTGTTTTGTTCATGCTCTGTAGGAAGACTCATATTCTTTAAAACTGGAGTTTTTACTTTCTAAAGATGCTACCTTTGAAGTCAAAGGTAGGAGGTGAATCATGAAAATCAGCCTTTTCACTTTCAAGAATCAGAGATATTGTTTCATTGTTAACATCTGAAGACCCAGGTAAGACTTTGGTCAGTTCAAGATTCTCAGATTCAAAGGAAGAGACTGAAATGTGGTTTCCATTTACTTCAAATTTCAATCCAGGTCTTATGCTATTTTGTATACAATCTACCTTTTCTGCCTCATTAACAGATTTTATAGAGGGATGCTCATTTTGAATTATTATAGTGCCTTGAGATACTTTATCTGACGGCCCAGAATCAAAGTTTTTTGTTGTAAGGCTATAATCAGTATCTTTTGGTAAAGATCCAACCACTTCATTTTTTGCATGTAATATGTTAGCTGAGGATAAGAGTCCAGTAGTTGAGGAGATTTCTTTTTCCTTCGTGTTCTCTTTTGCTTGCATATTTATTTGTGAGTCTTGAATAACTGTCCTGTTTTCTTCATTCATATGTTCTGTATCTGTTTCAGCTTGATGATGAAGAACAATGCTGCCAAAATGATAAGATACTGAACACTTACTCTCTGGCAGTCCCAATTCACCATATAAAGTTGTTTTATTTGGACTTGGCAAATCTTCACGTTCATGTTTGACTATCTCAGATTCTCTACTACTTAAATCTATATTCAGGTCAGAAAGCACTACACTTGGGGCTTGAAAATGTTCTCCTCTTTGCTCTGATGCTCTATCATTCTTCAAAAAGTTGTTTTCGAAAGTAGGTTTTGGATTCACTATCCTCTGAAAAGCAGGATTTCTAGGGTCTTTGGTATCATTCCCGAATAACAATGATCCTTTCATATCATTGTCTATTTCATAAACTGGCACATAATTTAAAGGATTATTATAACAGGATTCAACTACAGAACTAGAGAGAGTTTCAGTAGATGATGATGGTCTATTTAATAATGATGGCCTATGTAATATAGATTCCTTATAATTACTGTTATTTAAAATGGCATCTTTTAAAGGGCCTTTGGGCAGATGTGTGTTGTTCTTGACTGGTGAATCTGGAGAGGTGACAGCCTCAGACTCACTTCCAGTTCCAGTTTGAGTATCTGCACTAGAATCAGAAGTTTCATCTGTTCTTTGTACAGAAGTCAAAGTCTCTAATTTGGTCTGATTCTTCAAAATTTTCAAAATCTGTCTGGGACCCCGGTAAGTTGAATATGTAATTGAAGACATCTCAGGTTCACATTCTACTTTTCTATAATGAGAAGTTTCAGAGTATCAGGAAAGGTAATCAACATACTATATTAACATCAGAAGTTTCAATGAAAGTCTCATCTTTAACCATCACTCAAAACTTAACAACAAAGTAGAGATCTCTATGACAACGCAATTCAATAAGCATCTGTTAAACACCTATTATTGTTCTAGGTTCTGAAGGTACAAAAATAAAAATCAAAGTCCTTGCCCTCAAGGACCTTATGTACGTTATCTCATTTAATCTTCACAAGATATTTGTAAAACAGGTAAATCAAATAATAATAGCAGCTAACATTTATATTCCACCTACTATGTGCCAGGAACTGGGCTGTTTTTTACAAATATTATCTCATTTGATCCTCACAGCACTGGAAAATATGTGCCATTACTATCCCTATTTGCAGATCAGAAAACTGAGACAAACAGCTGTGTGCTCAGGGTCACACAGCTAGTAAGTGTCTGTGAACTGGATTTGAACTCATGTCCTAATGGCTCTAGGCCAGGTGTTTTATCCACTGCATCACCTGACTGTCCGGTTTTATTCTTCCTACTTGGTAGATAGTATATGCATGGATCAGAAAAGGTTTCAATGATTTATATCACATCATATAGATGGTAAGAGACAAAGATTGGAATTTTAATTCAGGTCTGCTGACTCCAAATGCAGTGTTCTTTACACAGCTGTTTCCCTATCTATGCCAATTTGAAAACTAACTTATTAAAAAGCTAACTTTAAGCAACAGCACTGAAATTAACCCTGGGTGGGGCTATTATTACTCTGCACTACTTATTTTTAAAGAAAGTGATAGTGCATTTTAAAATATCTTTTACATATAAATGCTTATGTCACACATTACAAAGTACACAGAACTAGAATTCAAAAGACAAGCCCAGTATATACATATATATATATATACACACACACACATATATGTATATGTGAAAAAGCACCGGACTTGAGCCCAGAAAGAACATGGATTCCAACCTCCCTTTTGATACTTTCTAACACTGTGATACTAAATAAGTTAACTTCTCTGAATTTCAGTTTTGAAATTTATAAAATAGGGATAATGATACTGATATTCTCTACATTACAGAGTAGCTATTAGAAACAATTAAGATCATGGATGTAAACTGGTTTCCAAACTTTTAAAGCACTAGAGGAACATTAGCTGTTGTCATTAGTTGGTCTAGTTCTACCATTATCTATGAGACAGACCCTGGTTGAAAAAGTTGATTCATTTTTCTGGGCCTCAGTTTCCTCATTTGAAAAATAAAAGGGCTGTCAAGATTAGAAGGAAAGCAGAAGGCTGGGGGACAATTTTTATAGCCAGTGTTTCTGATAAAGGCCTCATTTCTCAAATATGTACAGAACTGAATCAAATTTATAAAAATACAAGTCATTCCCCAGTTGAAAAATGGTTAAATAGTATGAATAGACAGTTTTCAGATGAAGAAATCAAAACAATTCATAGTCGTATAAAAATGCTATAAATCACAATTGATTAGAGAAATGCGAATTAAAACAACTCTGAGGTACCACCTCACACCTTTCAGATTGGCTAATATGACAGAAATGGAAAATGATTAATATTGGAGGAGATATGGGGAAAAAACACTAATGCATTGTTAGCGGAGTTGTGAAATGATTCCAATTATTCTGGCGAGCAATCTGGAACTATGCCCAAAGAGAAGGATCCAGCAATTACCCCTTCTAGGTCTGTGTCCCAAAGAGATCATAAAAAAGGGGAAAGGACCTACATATACAAAAATATTTATAGCAGTTCCTTTTGTGGTGGCAAAGAATTAGAAATTGAAGGAATGCCCATCAATTTGGGAATGGCTGAACAAGTTGTGGTACATGAATGTAATGGAATACTATTGTGTGTGGATTTCAGAAAAACCTGGGAAGGCTTATATGAACTGATGATGAACCAGGAGAACATTGTACACAGTAACAGCAACACTGTGTGATGATCAACTATGATAGACTTAGCTCTTCTCAGCAATGCAACGATCCAAGACAACTCCAAAAGACTCATGACGGAAAATTCTATCCACATCCACAGAAAGAACTATGGAGTCTGAATGCAGAGTGGAGCATATTATATTCACTTTTTGGGGTGTTTTTTTTTGGGGGGGGTTGAGTGGTTTTGCCCTTTTGTTCTGTTTCTTCTTTCACAATATGACTAATATGGAGATATGTTTAACATGATTGCACATGTATAACCTATATCAGATTGCTTGCCATCTTGGGTAAGATAGAGGGGAAGGAAGGAAGGAAGGAAGGAAGGAAGGAAGGAAGGAAGGAAGGAAGGAAGGAAGGAAGGAAGGAAGGAAGGAAGGAAGGAAGGAAGGAAGGAAGGAAGGAAGGAAGGAAGGAAGGAAGGAAGGAAGGAAGGAAGGAAGGAAGGAAGGAAGGAAGGAGAAAAATTTTGAACTCGAATCTTATAAAAAATAAATGTTAGAAACTATCTTTATATGTAATTGGAGGGGAAGAAAGGTTCCACTTTCTACAATGCCACCCCCTATCCCCACTGTTTGTAACTACATGATTTAGCCACCTGGTATTCTTTTTCCAAAATTTTTAAAAACATTTTTATTTAAAGTTTTTAGTTCCAAATTCTATCCCTCCCTCCCCAAAATTGGTAAGCAATCAGTTACAGGTTATACATGTGCAACTATGTAAGACATTTCCATATTAGTCATTTTGTACAAGAAGACTCAAATAAAAGGAAAAAAAAGAAAGAAAGTGAAATATAGCATGCTTTAGTCTGTACTCTATCAATATCAGTTCTCTGTCTACAGGTAGATAGTATACTTCATCATTAGTCCTTTGGGATTGTTATGGATCATTGTACTGCTGAGAATAGCTAAGTCACTCATAGAACAACACTGCCATTAATGTGTACAACGTTCTCCTGGTTCTGCTCACTTCACTACGCATCAGTTCATGTAAGTCTTTCCAGATTTTTCTGAAATCCACCTGCTCATCATTTCTAACAGCAAAATAATATTCCATTACAATCATATACCACGGGTAATTCTTGGTTGTAATTCTAACTCCTTTGCCTTCCAGTATAACATATTCCAAGCCCTCCAGTTCTTTAATGTGGAAGCTGCCAAATCCTGCATAATCCTGACTGTAACTCCACAATATCTAAATTTGGGGCAGCTAGGTGGCGTAGTGGATAGAGCATCAGCCCTGGATTGAGGAGGACCTGAGTTCAAATCTGGCCTCAGAAACATAACACTTACTAGCTGTGTGACCCTGGGCAAGTCACTTAACTCTACTGCCTAACCAAAAAAAAAAAATCAGTTCACAATATCTAAATTGATTTTTTTGGCTGCTTGCAATTTCTCCTTGATCTGTGAACTTTGGAATTTGGCTATGATATTCCTGGGAGTTTTCATTTAGGGATCTCTTTCAGGCAGTAATCAGTGGATTCTTTCAATTTCTATTTTGTCCTCTGGTTCTAATATATTAGGACAGTTTCTTTGATAATTTCTTGAAAGAGGTTGTCCAGGCTTTTTTCTTATCATGGTTTTCAGTTGGTCCAATAATTCTTATATCATCTCTCTTTGATCTATTTTCTAGGTCAGTTGTTTTTCCCATGAGAAATTTCACCTTTTCTTCTATATTTTTTTTTACTTTTTAGAGTCTGTTTTATTGTACTTAATGTTTCACAGAATCATTAATTTCCACTTGTCAATTTTAATTTTTAAGGAATCATTTTCTTCAATGAGCTTTTGTACTTCCTTTTCCATTTGGGCAATTCTATTTTTTAGGGAGTTATTTTTCTTGGTAAATTTTTGTATATCTTTTCCCATGATACTGACTCTTTTTTTCCACAATTCTCTTCCATTACTCTCATTTCTTTTCCCACTTTTTCTTCTACTTCCCTAATTTGCTTTTTAATATCCTTTTTAAGCTCTTCCAGGAATTCTTTTTGGGACTGAAACCAAATTAGATTTTTCCTTGAAGCTTCACATGCAGTATATTGACCCTTCTCTCCTCTTCTAAGTTTATGCCTTGATCCTCCCTATCGCCATAGTTAACTTGCTATAGTCAAGCTCTTTTTTTTTTACTCATTTTATTCTGCCTTTTTTTTTTTTGGTGTCATGGTGTTTTTATGTGAGAACTGGGCTCTAGTTCTACAAAGTCCCAAACTTTTTGTGCTAGGGCTCTGGGTCTTACTGATGGCTTTCACTGGAATTCAGGGATTAGCTCCTTGGGGGTGGAGTTTCCCTGTTGTCCTCCCTTGGGTGTGGAGTTTATAGCTGCTGGCCTGCTATGGAAAAAGGGTCTCTCTACTGGTAGACCCCAGAGGCAGGGTCTTGCTGTTGGCCAGCTCTGGGATGTGGCTTCACTACTGGTCAGCAATGGGGTCAATGCTTCGTTGGTGCCTTGCTGGGGCTGGAACCTTGCTCCACTGCACAGACTGCTCACTTGCATAGGAGGCTGCTGGCTTGCAGGAGGGCAGGGCCTGGATGATGGACTGCCCCAGCCTTGGAGCTTTTGCCACAGGCCTCCTGCTGTGAGACTGGTTGCTGCTGCCAATGTTGGACCTTGTTCCCCTCCCACCTCAGTGAGACAGACCTTTCCTTCTAGGCTGGTAAGCTGCTTCCCTGCTCCTAGACCAATTCTGAGGAGGTTTTCCAGTTGTTTTGAGGGGAATTTGGGAGGGCTTCAATGGATTCCTTTTTCACTCTGTCATCTTGGCACCAGAAGTCATTTTTTTAAGGGCAAAATTTTGAGCAATTAACAAATGAATTATATTTAAATTTCTTCATAGCTACTCCTAAGATTCTCCAAATCTGCAAGGTTGGTATTTCTGGAAGTGCTCTAGGGAATAATCTACTTCTATACTGCTATAAATCTCCCATTTTTATCTTTGGGCTGTTTTACTTTTTCTTCATCTGTTTGTGTGCACAGACCCACATGTGTTTTAAATAAACAAAAATAATTCTTATTAAGGGTTGCTAAGATATCAAGAG